AGGTGTTTTTGTTGATTTCATCCTTATTTTTCTCGCTTTTAACCCAAAGGGGCTGTTGATATAAGCTCAAAATTGTTTATTTTTTTGTGAACTATAAAAAATCGTATTCAATGGCTTTAAAGGGTGCTTGAAACGAATCCGATTTTCTTAAAATGTTTTTTGGCCTACTTTACTGATTTTTTAAAAATCTTTTTAAATATCCAATCTCATTTAATTATTCTTGCGTATTATTTTCTTATTCTCAGTAAAAATACACATCTACTAATATAGAATCATCTTGAACTACTTGCACAACGAAAACAAAAAAACCATATTTTAACAAATGTAGTTAAATTAGGTTTAAAAATCGCCAAAAAAATTACCGTTAAAACCTACGATTTCACGTCCGTAGCCTCTCCTCGTGAGAAGAATTAATTGGACCGAATCTCCCACTTGCGATTCCTTTGTAAAACTCAATGTAAACAATCCATGTCGAAAAATAGTGATAACTGGGTCCTTTACGACAATGTTCAGTCAGAGAGGAAAATCCTGGTGAAAACACAGCGATCAACCCTTCAGTCCTTCCACGATTTTGAACGATCTGTTCGACTTTCTCTTATTTTTACTATCTCACTATCAATTCATAGAGTTCACTTCAAAAAAGACAGAGTGAGATTATTTTTATTTTTCTCTTAGAACAAGTTTTTGACGTTATTTGGTCCTCCGGGCCGTATTTGAACCGGAGACTTGTGGATCTGCAGTCAACCCTACCTCAATATTTAAGTTTTATCATGAGTTCTTCGTGGCACATCACGAAATCGTAAAGAACTTTTTGTGAAGTTGTAAGACAATGCAGAATGCACAGGTGAAAGGATGCTAAACCCGCTCAGCTCTTCAGTCTTGAAGGTCGCCGATATCGTAAAACGAATGGGGCCTCGTTTCATTCGCCAGACCATTATACTAATTCGGATATTTTTTCCGTGACGCTATCTATATAAAATAACCATAGAAAACGATTTTTTACGAGCATGGAACAGGTTGGAGCAAGAGACTTTTTCAAGGACGTATGTTGAGTCGGTCTTCACCACAGACTTACGCCACATGACAAGTAATTGGGATTTCAACCCTTTTTAAGCATTATTCCATCCCTTTAGAGGAGTCTGTTTGTTTTTAAGTAGCTGACCATAAGGAAAAAACTCTGTCATTTTAAGACGTTCGTTTTATTTTATATACGTTCTAAATTGGAATGAACAACGTTTTCTTCACTTCCGCCATCTTCAGTGGTCTGTCTGTGTAATTTCCGTTTAGTAGAGCGTCTTTTATAAGTGAAAAGGTTTCGGTTAGATTAGGAATGGTTAGTTTCAATTTTTCATTGCTCTTTACAATATGAAACAAATGAAATGGTTAGGCGAGACATCAAATTTCCGTTAGTTTCAGGTATCGCTCCGGGATCAATATTAGGGTCATACTTATGATTGCTGTTTACCTACGCTCATTGCTATAATACTGCTTCATAGCTTTCAATGGCGATGATTACAATTTCCGGTTCTTGAATCATGAATCATGCCCAACGTATAAATTGAAAGCAGGGTTTGGAGCTAGATGCACTTTTTATGTGATAAATGCTCATACAGTCGAATAACTCACTAAGAAATGAATTACAGAACCTGAGACAACATTACACATTCACTGACTAAGGACAAATCTCTTTGGACAGCCATAAATAGAATCCTAAATTATAAATCCGTTGGTTTTTTAATCCTCTCCGTTGAGATGAAAGCATTTGGAGCTCTGATGAAGAAAAACACTCCTCTTTGTACTGTTTTTACTCCTCATCCTGACCTGAACAATCTCGACCTCAATAGAACCGTAGAACAAGCCCTGACATCTCCATGTAAACCATTCACACCCGATGATCCCATGTTATAAGTCAAAATCCTGCAAGAACTACGAGAAAAAGCTGTGGTTTTCCTTACATTCATTTACAATTTTATCCTTGGAACTGCATATTTCCCAGTAGCCGGATGATACCAAAGTCTAACCTAACTTTTAACATCCAATTATTCTCTTACATGCCATGGGCAAACTAGCTTAAACACATCTTTATCTTTTATTAAGGCAACCTTAACCAGGTAGGATTCAGTCGATCCAAATGTATTCCTAGATGTCATATGACCCTTCGATTGGGCAGCACTGGGGGCTGCCCTAGAAGCTTAAGAATCGGACACTTAAGTACTATGCACACAGATGCAGTGCTACCTTAAATGTATCTTACAACCCATCCTCTATGTAGTGTACACCTCAGACATTCCTACCTTTATGAAACTATCCTTTGGTATACCACCTTACTTTGCCCTCTTAAAGATCTCGCAATCTCAAACAGAAACCTACAAACCCATCTCACACCCCTCAAGTAGTGGAAAATGCAAATAAATGCACAATAATGTAATGTCACTTTAACCCACAAAGATAACACTGCTCCAAGCAACTTCAATAGTATCCTGCCCTGTAATGTAATCCGATACCTTGGGTTATACATTGACAAGCAATTTATGTGGAACCCACACATGCAACTCAAAAGACTTCTTAAAAATGATTGCTGGACAAAAGGAATTGAACTGGGGGGTTCGATCAAATGTTCCAACCTCCAACATACCCAATCCTTATAACCCAAAATCCTCCGAAATATTCTCATTTCTCCATTTTATGTTACATATCTTCTTGAAGTATCCAAAAAGTGCTTCGAGAAGTTTCAAAAAAGATTATACTGTCTGACAAATACCCTCTTCTCAGAAACCTTTCATCTGGCACATTTGCAAATGGTATACCAGTCGATGCCATGATTCCAAAATTCAAATTTGATAAGAAATTTTAAATATAAATACCTAATAGAGCAGACTTTGAAAAAGGTATTCCAGTTAATGCCGGCTGTATCCAGTAAGGTCGGGTATGGGTTAGGAGCTGGTATCTATGGAAATAAACCGAGTACAATTCATTCATCAATTCAAGACAAAGGAAATTTGCCAGTCTATTGAACAATGTGCCAGGGAAAGAAAAAAAATGAATAGCCATATTTGGTCAGCCAGTTGACACTAAAGGTAAATACTAGGTCAATAGTAAAGTCCAGAGCAGTTTGCAATTGCATTAAGACCCTGTCAGACATTGGGAAAAAAAATCACCTTGTCTGAGTACCAGGGCATAGAGGCAACGAGGAGACCAGTAAATTGGACAAGTTCAATCAAAAAAACTTATCTGCTCTGAACACATTTGTGGCATAACAAATTGCTCCTTGGTTCAAGGAGAATGTATTCCAGAAGAGAGGCATGCAAAAAAGTTCATTAAAGGACCAAATGCAGAACTATTAAACCTAGGAAGTGTTTGATAGTAGGACTACTGGAGATTCCATATTCAGAGCAGCAGATATTACCAGTAGAAAGAAGAAACAGCTCATCGGTGCATGTATGCCGACTGGGATCCTCCGACATTGAAGGAAAATCAGGAACCTGTTGTTCTAATTCCATCAACAATAAATTGAAAATATGAACTTGGTTCAATGGGAATGTATTCCAGGCCAGCGGCAATATGATAACAGCAGAGCTACTACACATAGAAGATGCTAAGAGTAAAATGATAAATAGGACTGCTTACTGTACACAGTCATATAGACTCGGAAAAGCATAAACAAACCTGTGCTAACCAGGAAGGAGACAAAGCAGAACATCCTCTGGTAGGAAGGCCCAACTCTTGTGGAGAGTAAAGCCGCCTGAAGGATACACAGCTCTTAACCAAACTTTGGGATCTGTTATAAAGCCTTAAGCTTAAGTAAAGAGTTCGATTCCTAACCCTTCAAGATAATTCTACTGGTACTGAAAAGTAATTGGCCTCACAACCTCCTGACTCGAGTACTTACAAACTATCAAATTTTCAGAGTTGGTCTGTCTTCAGCTTTTCGATCTTTCCAGTTGGCGATGATTAAATGATCAGTAGTGTCCAAATTCCAGGTATATCAGACCACAGGCTTTAAACTTCTTGCAACAACAAAATATTTTTCCAACAAGTGTTGATTTTTTTTAAAGCCCAATTATGTTCTTTGAATATAAATAATTAAATAGTAGAGGTGGGTGTTAATTTTGTTCCATTGTGTCAATAACGCTGTCGAGAGAAAAGCTCAACTGGCCTCGGCTGACCGATTATGTTTGACGTAATTCGTCAATGGATCAAGGGGAATAAATTGTCACAACCCTGTAATTACTTCTCAAACCAGTTTCCTTAATTTTGTCTCTGATATTGAGTGAATCATGGAATAATTGCAGAGGCACGACGGGATCATTGTAGATTCTTGACTTTCCTCTTCTGTCATTAAAATGTCGCAAGTTTGGAATAGGTCTTACTTTCTGCATGCTATTTTATTTATTTATTTATTTTTTTAAATAAAAAAGAAAACTCATTAATTGGTGATTGAATTTATTCATTATTTATCTCTTTTCAATGTATATCACAATCTTAATTGTCAATTAAAGTCTTATTGTAATAATAAGCTATTTACATAGAATGATTAAATTTCATTAGATCTATATTACACTTTTGTTATTTGCATTTTTTTAAATTATATTTTCAAAACAATGTGCTTTTATTGTGTTTCAACAGTAAAAGATACACTACAAAATGATACCAGCTCTTTTAAATATAAATAGTAATATACTCAAGACCACCATAATATAGAAAACATAAAAAATAAATAATTGCTATTGTGAAATTACACGAATGTAAAACGATTAGATTAGATAACTATCTCAGCATACGAGGAATGGGCTTGAACTTTTTTTCTTCAGAACTTGAAGACATTTTAGAAACTTTAATTGTGCTAGTTTTTTTTCATATATGCATTATCCCTTATGAATCCATCACGGATAAAAAATAACTTATTTCATCTTCAGGTAACAGATTTCTAACACCTACTTACTCTAAATAGCTTTCCTTACTTATTCCAAAAAGGCTGTTTAAATAAAACAAATCGGCAATGCACATTTAGGAAGTTTTATTTATGTTTACAATACTGACTTTTATTTTATATATATTTCCTTAACTAGCCAAATTTAATGTGTAAGTGAATACCAAGGGCCATTTGTTTAAATCCTGCTTATAAATCTGATATAAACAAAGCGGTTATCAATTAAAGTAAAAAGAAAATATAAGAAGAACAAAAATAAAGCCATGGCAGAAGTGTAAAAGACAAATATTGCAATATTTAGGCTCTGATTGATATAAAAAAAAGGATGAGCATTTAGTTAAATTTAAGTCAGAACCAAATACACTGTAAATAACAAGTTTGAGTATTACAATCGTCGATAAGTGTTTTGAGCAAATAAACACCCCTTAGCATACAACAGTTAATCGACCATTTGAGTTAACGAGGGCAGCATTTTTTTAAATGATTTTTTTTTAAATGCTTATAACCCATTTGACTGCACCAATCATTTTTATTTGTAAATATAATAAATAATACATATAACTAAACAAACATTTAACAAAATCAAAACTGAAAGAGCAAAACTTAGTTTATAAATAATAAATTACCTTTGATCATATTGTTGAACCCCCGGGCTGCCAAAACTGTTGTAAATTTTTACTTTATTATATTTTAAATATATATCTTCCCACAGTATGACGGAAATATGCTCGGTATAAAACCAAGAATTAAATACTGTTTTTGTTTTTTTAAATATATTGTAATGTCAATGTATTAGCTTTAAGCCATACTAAACAAATATAAATTAACAATACATATCAATAGCATTCTCAATTAATTACAATTTTCTTTCTTTTACATACATATATTAATTATAACATTTATCTATTTTAAATTTCAATTATATATAACATATGTGTGTAAGGTGTCATCCTTCTCTTTGCTTCTGTATAAGTGTTTGAAGTGTACAAATGGAAAAATGGAATGCTTAATTTTATAGCTAAACTATAACTTAACAAGAAAATAAAATACTATAAAAAATAGATAATTGTTTCATCATTCACAATTTATTTATCAACAGTCAGTGGGATGATTTAATTTTTTACCACCCTTCCATTTTTTAATATTTATTTATTTTTTCATTATGACTAATTCATAATAAATATAACAATATGAAGAACTATAACATAAATAATCAGTTTTACAACATAGCAATGGAATTGTCTAGTTATCAAAGCACATTTAATGAAGGCAACATCATGATTCTCACAGGTGTCCGAGAATCGTATCATTCAAGAGGCCATGGACTAAGGATTTTTCTTCAATTTTTTTTTTTTTTTTTTTTTAATGGACAAATGCAAACAATAAATGTTTATATCTAACAACTAGTTCAAACTGCTATTCGCTCTAAGCCTTGTGAGCCTATTCACACAATCTTCAGACGTAGACAAGAAATAACGGCCTAATCGATAATCCGATTAGCAACGGTACAAGAAACGTTTTGAATTACTGATTATTTTAAACAATTATGCAGATAGCTTTGGTCAGACCTTAGCTTGAAATTCAAACAAGAGTTTCAACTCTAACTCATTTGGTACAATATAATTGATATATTATGTTTTACAATATATATAATTATATATTTAAATAGCTAATTTATTTATGATCGATTATTTTATCTAAAATTTGTAGAGCTACCTTTCACAGACCGACACTAGCATCCCCTTAAAAGAGAGATATAACACTCATAGCATTGCACATTATTATCTAAATGAGGATGACAAAGAAAATTTGGGTTAAATAGAATTTTAGAACAAATAACAAATAATGGTTGAATAAGACATGTGAGATAAAAAAATAAATGATAAAATATAAAACGACAATAAGACCATAGTCCATGAAATTATATTTAATCATAGCCCTGCTTCACTAATAGTTAGTTGTCTTACATTCCATATCCTTGGTACGGCATTCCTGGTGCATATGTGTTTGGATAGGCTGATGAAAATCCAGGCGCCATCATACCAGGACCAGCAGTTAACATTAGCTGCGGTTCAGCTGTAAATTGTAAAATAAACACATAATAATGTAGAGTTAAAGAAACAGAAACAATTATAATCACAAATTATGGCAATCCAAATCGACTTAACATATTGTGCCCTATGCTTGGACATTTTGGTTGCCCTCTAAAAATAGCTCTCTGGTACTTCAAAATATTGTAAATGATTTTTAATTTATTTTATTACGTTTGTCATAACTTATATAAAGCAACGGTTATGTCCCTCATAAATGAACTAGGCAACCTGATGAACATTTGTTCAATTTGGTATATAGTTGAATAAAAATTGTTTCTACTTTTTACAAAAATTTTTTACTTTATTTTATGTAAATTGATATATTAAAATAACAAAACAGTAACAAAAAAAATAGGGGACTGCAGTGGCGCATATGTCACACTAGTGGTCCTGGGTTTGAATCCCGGCCACAGCCCATGAGTTTTTAATTCACAATAGTATCAAAGAAAATTATATTCTAAAGAGGTTTGAACCCAATGGGTTGGATGATAAGCTTTTCTTTAAGGCGGGAATTGCTTTATTTTTGGAACCATGATGGCTGAGTGGTTAGAGCATCCAACTCATATTCTCTGTTCGACTAATTGTCCGCGACACCCAACGTGTATTTGGATGTTAAGTGCTTCTATATGACTGGAATTATACTTTACTTACACAGAAAAGCAAATTACGTCATTCTCACAGAATAAATGAAAAATCAGTTCCAGTCGAAAGAAAGAAAAAAACAACTGAAATGACAGTAGGCAGTGACACTTTTGCCCTATCTAAGGCTGCCCTAGGAATTTCAAATAGAATTGTGCAGCTGGTGAAGCACAGGAAGAATTTAAAACGTATTCATGGGAAGATGCACCATTCCATGCAATCAACATGTTAATATCGAAATAATGTTTCACAAAATATATGTAACCTGACCAACCAGACCTAGCCTTAACCGTAACCCAATCCACATACTCCCAGGTAATGTGAAAATGATACATGCAAAAAAATTGCATACCCAGCCCAAAAACATCCTTATTAAATTAGATCTAGACATAAAAGACTAAGGCCACACCAGAGATGTCTTACTTGGTCTGCCTTTGAGACCAGCAGCTAGTCAGCCAAGTCTATGTTTCCTGGTGTGTTGCCTAGTAGTTGTTAAAATTCCATCATGGATCATCATGCATTAATAGCATGTAATTAGTATCTTGCTTTTGTTATTTATGTGTAAAGGTCTGGAGAAGGATGTCGAAAGATATTACAGTCATTCGTAAGAATTTGAAAAACATCTTCGTACTTCTGAATTTTCATTTCTCTCACCATCAATGTGACGCACTCAGCACCTTCTACAATTGTTCATATTTCAAAGAAATATTTTCTGTCAAAACCCTTTGACTCTAGCTAATTCTGAGAGAGACATTTAAACATTGTGAACAACCAACACAACTATGACGACAAGCTTTGATGCTTTGGTGTAAACACTTATCGTCTGGGCACTAGGTATTAGATCAGACACCAGGTAACTAGGCACTCAGACACAGGTAAACATGTAGGCGGCAAGTAGGACGCCTCCAGTGTAGGCTTAGTCTCAAGTTGGGCCTTGATAACTTGAATTTCATGGTACTATAAATTTCCTTCGAGTTAACAAGGTCTGACTGTATACTACATTATTTACCAAACAATATGCAATAATAAGTACATTATATTAATTATTAATCTTTCATAGTATGGAATAATATAGCAAATAAAGCTCATCAGCTATTTAACTTAACCTTATGATCCAATGTCTGAATTCATTTCCCGTTGAAACAAATAAACTCAATCCAAAAATAGGACTACATTTAAAGGCAGGCTATGATTTATTACCTTAATTTTTTTCCTAACAAGTTACTACAGTTTCTCCTGCTTTGTCAAATTAAATAAATTTACTTACGCATCATCATTGGCTTGTGGTCTTGTTCTGCTCTTTCTTCTAGCCTTCTAGTTTCTGATTCTTCCAATTGATCAACCTAAATAAAGAATAACATAAGAAAAAATTATGATTCGGTGTTTATTAAACTCTAATTAGAACTAAAGTATCTGTGTTAAAGACAACTATATCTGGTATACTGATGACTCCAAGACTGAGCATGGGTAAACGAATAAACCAAAGGACTAGGATTCATGCAAGTCTTGGACAATATGTGACTGTCGGACTTCTACCGGGGTGAATAAAAGGGTGGAGAAAAGAATAGCCATCTAATCGAACATGGACACTAAATTGGTAGTACCACTATACTTCATCGGTGGTACCAGAGCCATTTGGAATTGTATCATGAACCTATCAGACATATGGGAATATAACAAAATCACCCTTGTCTGTGTACTAGGGTATACATGGCTGAGGGACATCAAAAAGGTTGATAAAATGGTTAAGAAAAGTTTAATCAGGACACTTATTAACCCTTACCTCTTTTGTGGCATACCAAATTGACAAAAAACTTAGAACCATCAGACAATACATTACAAGAAGTCCTCGGTTCTATGTGAACTCCAGGACAAGGCAAACTATTTCATTAAAATTCAGAAAGACCAAAATATTTAACCTGTAGGTCATAGGTGTTAAATAGTTAAGATTTCTCTCTATGGTTTGTGGGATAATGAACCATGTAATTTGATCATTATTGACCATCCTGGTCTATATTTATCCTCACTGGGTTGCTCAGACCATTTTGTCATTTCACTATCTTCAGCATTGTGTCTATATTGATAAAGTCCATAATGAGAAATTTTTTTTTAATATGACCACCGGAGGGTGAATAAATTCTAGCCCACTTGAACCTGTTAGGACTAGCAAAGCAATCATGATTAGGACAACTGACTCAGAAGAAACAAGCCTAAATATTGCCAGGAAAAAGACTAAAGAAGGTTGGTACAAAGGTCTAAAGGGCCTTTAGCCTTCACAGTCTGGGTAAACAACCATAAGGTTAATGACAACTCAAAAGCTAGTTGTAAAGCTGACTCCTAATAACCTAAATTCCAATTAGAAACTAAACAATAATTTTTACAACTTACCTTTGAAATATATTCACGTGTAACTTGGATTATGTAAGGCATTGCAAAATCCATAATATTATGTCTCCAGGCTAGTTCCAATATAACATCAGGATGAAGGAGATCGTAACACTGGAATAGGCAAGCTGCAAAGCAATCATGATTCCCCTTCTCTAGAAACCACGCTAACAGTTCTTCAGCGACTTCTGAATTCTTAGATTCTGCAGCATACTCCATAGCATCCTGGAAATTTCACAATTTTCAATTTCTCATTCGGTTTGATTTTACATTTTAAAAAATAAAGTAAAAAGTTTTAAAAAATTACTTTAAATAGCCTATCCTTTTTGCAAAGCTGGACGCTTTGTTTCCATCTATTGTTCCCTTTGTACAGATAGGCCGCAATTCTCCTAAATTCTATTAGTTCATGCTTTTCTAATTTTTGCGCCAACACGATATTATCAAAGTTGTCAAAAGCATCTATCGATGTTCTCACGCCCTAAAAATAAAGTTATAAACAAAATTGATTTCACGGATTTTAATTTTTTTTTTTAATAATCACCTGGAAATCTTCTTCTTCGATTAGCAAATTGTTCAACGCTTCATTAATAGCTTTATTGTTCAAAGACTGAACAGATCTAAGGTAGGGTTTCACAAGTTGTAGGTGATTCACCTAAAAGAGCAAATTAAAAAATTACTCCTCAGACAATCATAGTAATACTTTCAAAATAAACTTTAAATACCTTGCTAAAGAAATTAACAGCACGGGTATGATCCATCCTTGGTGCAAGTACAAGTAGCATATCATTTAACAGCAATGGTTTGTAATCGAGATAAAATTGAATTGCCTTGTAGTATAGTTCAATGTTTGCCACCTAGTAGCATTAAAAATAGCATAAAAACAAAAATTAATTAATGGATGTACAATATATTCAAACCTTTGTGATAACATCCTTAAAATGGCTCTCCCTCCATGCTTCAGTTGGATGGTTCATCATGGCTGAGACAGCATTATCGTATTCTTCGTATTTGTCATACAGAAAAACAAGTTCAGCCCATAAGTGAGCTTGTTCTGCAGCGCGCAATACCTACAAACAAACAGAACAAATTGCAGAAAAAAATTATTTACCCCAAATATGTCAATAAGAAAATCACTGGCTGGTCAGATAATGCAGATATTTTAAATCCTCTCAATTAAAAAATAATAAATAATGGATAAAACCTATTGTAATTACCTTAGGAATATTGACACGTGACCAAAATAATTCTAAATGTTCACGCATTTTTGCTGGTTTGTATTTTGAATACAATATAGCTAATTCTGTGAACATGCCCATATGTGCACGCTCTAATCCTAAAGCCGCTTCTAGGAGGTTGATAAGTTCCTCAAAATAGCCTCTATCCTGTAAATGTTCTTGTGTTAATAATCGGAAATATTACGCGTTGGTAAATGTTCAAACTATTACCTGATAATAATTGATTAAATCCTCTAGTTCATCAGCGTGGACTACTATGTGCAGACCACACATCTGGGCTAATCTGAATTCTTCGCTGTCGACGCAAGCGAAACACACTTCCTTCCATGTGTGCGTACTGAAAAAGTCAATTTGTTACAGCATAAATCAATAAACATTACCCACAAGGTTTTAAAAAAGTGAAATTAACCTGTTTGCTTTCCTAGCGCTATCGACTGCACCTTGAAATTCTTTTAAATGTACAAGAGTGATTGCCAGTCGAGCGAAATTGGAAACATTATTATATAAAAGTTTCGCAGGTTCGTACATTTTATCATCAAAACAACGGTCCCCAATCTGAAAGGAAAAACAATCTTACATCATTTTCTTTTGATATTTATTTATGTATTATAATGTTGCCAATGATAATGGGGCAAATAACTAAAAACAGATGAAAAAGCAAAGAATAATAAGTAAAATCCATATAGCAATACATCCAAAGAGGAGAAAAAAAAAATTAAGAAAAGATATTTGTTCACAATCACCTTTTGGATGTCGGCATGATTAGGGCCAGAAATGAATTCCTCTAAATCTGCAAGTCTGTTGGTGCGAGCATAAGCATAGATGAGCTCGCTTTCGATATAAGATTCCCTGGCCTTTTTCCTTGCCATTTGCAAATATCTTACTAAATCTTCCCAGCTTTCTGAAAGCCGACAAGATAAGGGGTTTCATTATTATAAACAAAACTTTAACAAAGACAATAAGAATTACCTGTTTTATGAGCAGTTTCGACGACATCGATATATGCAGATGGATCGTCGGCCTTTATAAAAGAATCGATAGCTTCTTTTACAAGACCGTGCTGCAGTTGGGCCTTTGCCAGCTGACTCCAAACAGCAGGTTCGTTACAGCGTTCGGCAAATTCGTAAGCTCTGTCCAGATTGTTGACATTTTCAATCAACACTTGGATAGCAGAGGTGTTCACATCGAACTTCTTAAAAATAGCAAAAGCTTCTTCATAGAGCTGATTGTTGATAGCAATATTCGCAATATCTGGAGCATCATAATTATCCAATCTGTTTATATATTCCATTACTCTTGATCTGTCCGCTTTAATTGCTGTCAATATGAGCAAATTTTGCAAATTCCTGGAGAGAAAAAAGAATGTTGTAATTTTTTAAAATATAAATCATAAACGTCACACCAGACCACATTTCACGATCTCCAAATAATCATCAACTAACGGTCACTAAACACCACACACTTAAATATAAATTTTAACTAAACTATTTTATATAGTGTACCTGTGGTCACTGAAGACTGAATTGTCTAGCACTATCTTTTCAAGTAATTCGATCAATTCATTAGGCAGATCCGCTGTCATGAAAGCTTTTACAGTGACAGAAATGTCTTCAGGATCTTGGGTCTCAGACAGAGCTGTTTGTACAACCTGTAATGAAATAGATAACAAACATTTTAACATGGACACATTTTTGAGACTGGACAATTTTTTTTTGCTATGACCAGTTTCTTGTTACTAGTGGTGAGTGCGCATGAGTTACGGTTGGGTACAGGTTAGGGACAATTAAGTTAGATTAGGGTTAGGGACCATTTAGTTAGGCTAAGGTCAGTGAGGGTTAAGTTAGTGTTAAGAACAGTTTAGGTAGTTCAGGGACAGTTAAGTTAGTTTATGGTTTTCATTCAATATTGCAGTGAAGTATAATATAGAATACACAAGTGTTAAAATTGTACCTGATCTATAAGAGGTCGTTTATATGGATTGTTTTCATGTAAAACTTCAGCCCATAATTCCGGATCTCTCCTTCTTACAAGGTATCTTGAAACAAAAAAATTTTTTTTTGGATTTAATACAAACTTAATCTCATTAATCATCTGGCGTATTAATCAAAATAACCTAGTTAAAATCAACACCTTGCTTCAGATTTGAATAATGAATTTTCATTGCAGACGTTAATAAGCTCCCGATCGCACTGTCCACGTTCGTAGGCCACGCACGCTAAATGGGGATCCCTCTTCTCGCAGTACTTTCCAACAACTTTGCTGTCATAATATTGATTATCTCTGGAGAGAAGAAACAGTTTTTAGACTCTCAACAAGATTTTTTATTTTAGTGCTTACTTCAAAAATCTTTCTGGGTTATTATTGCTATCGATATAAATTTTGGCCAAGGCATTGTGTGTAGCAGGTTCGATGCAAGCTTCGTGAACTCTGGTCTCGAGCCAAGGCAGTAAAAGCTTTAATCTGTTACGTTTTTCCACCTCTGCCACTAACTCTTCAGTGGAAAACTGCCCTCTTACAACCATCATCAAGTTTTTAATGATATCTTCAGAGCAGTCAACATCTAACAGACCTCCAATCACAACTGGGAGTCTAGATGGATTAACCTATAGAAAATCATTACAATTATTGTCGTAAGGTGATTTTTATTTGATTCAAGTACAACTTACCTTTTGCACATAGATCTCAATGTACTTCTGCAAGTTATTTCTGTACAAATACAACACCAAGTCGTGTACGAAATCAAATCTGTCGCATACAATGATGAGTGGCAATTGATCTGTCAGTTTGGCTTCTTTCAAGAAATTTTTCACTCGTTCTGGATTGTAGCAATTAGATTCTCTGCAGATCCGTTCGACTTCCTTGATCTGACCCGTTTTACAAGCAGCCTATATCATAAATCACAATAACATATGGTTCTGAAATAACCGACCTCTTGTCAATAAGATGATGTGAATATTGTACCTGAATATATTTGAAATGGACTTCCTGATCTTGGCTAAAATTTACAATCGAGCCAAGGAAATAGAATAGGCCTTCATAACTCTTGAATGATTCGAATAAATCGATAAGTGCTTTAGTTGTTAGTTGTTCATGGTATTTAGTGGCTATCTGTACACAAATCTGGAGATTTTGCCTGATGTTTGCAGTAAGCATAGCTTTCAAACACTCGAGAGAATCTTCCACAGAAAGTGTACCAAAATAACCGACTAGCCATTCAACACTCAATAAATGTGTATGAACCACTGCCCTTTTGATGTCATATAAATCTAAAAAGAAATATGTACTCAGTAAACAAAATAAAAGCACTTTGAGTATGAAACGTACCGGTGTAATGTTCCAAAGCTCTCTGGAGCAAACCAGCTTTTTCACACAGCTGTGCAATGTGCGCACGATCGTAATGAGTGAACATTTGATTACTCAAAATGGCGTCAGCTACTTGTGGGGCAGCAATGAGATTCATTTCCAAAAGTCTCGTTTGAAGAGGTCCTTCAGAAGGACGGTTGTTTTTCAAGGCCTCGAGAAGAAAAGCAGTGCATTGGGGTACCATGTTCTGTTCCATCAGAATATCTACAATCTAAATCAAAGGACCTCATGAAGGAAAAACTCAACAGATTCTGTTCTTAGATTTGTCACAACAAACCTGATTAATATCTGCCAATGGTTCTTCATCTTGTACTAGCACTTGAGCAAAAGCGACACCTTGATCTGGGTTCACTCTCATCACGTTTCGGAGCAAAAATATGTAATCAGGGGTGTATCCGACTTTTTTCGCATACAATATTATTTTTGGAAACTGTCCAGTCTCGGCGAAACACTGAATGACCTGTAATTTAAAAATCATATATATCAATGCAGTTATAAAACATTTCATTTGTGCTATCTCATAAAAGTATAATTTACCTTGTTCGGTACATTAGCTCGTAAGTAAACGGATAACGCAAGAGTAGGGTCAGCATTTTTAACAAGATCCCCTAACTCTTCTGAACATTCCAATTTATCTTCTTTCAACCATTTTTCAAGCAACTGCTTCCTCCCTTGTTGAAGGACAGGCCGGCACAATTCTAATGACTCATATTTGTTCAATTTCCCCTGAAAAGTAATTAACAATGTGTTATGCGTCCTTTCTTTTCGACACGTTTATCAAGTGAGAATAATATACCTGGTCCAACAAAATTCCGAAATATTGTAAAAGCGGCGAAGTTGACCCTTGGGGATTAGGCACCTGTTGAAATTGTTGAATGGTTTGTGGAGTTCGCAAGATACCTTTGGCAGCATTTGCAGCAACCTACAACATCACACATCGTTGTTGAGATTTAAACAAACTGTTACAGTCTAGAATATTTGTGAGCAGTTACAACACCTTTGCTGCTTCTGCGTATTGTCCGTTCTGGAAAAGCGTATTGAATTTTCTAACAAATAGGTCTTCTGCACCGGCTAAATTATTCCTTACGGCCATTCTTAGAGCTAACTCGGGGTTATGTAGAACGTTATTAATGTAAGGAATGATCTGATCTTCTTCAACGCTCACAGACAACACCTTCCAATCAAAAATAAATGCATAGAATTTTTTGTAACAGAATTTTTTTTTTAAATAATAATTATATTTACCTGCCCTTTCCTGTTGACACCTATAATACCCCCAGTTGCTTCATGTGGTGCAGTTACAAAAATTGTGTCACCACTGATTCTGTTCATATAAATACAAGTGGCAGTTTCCAGATCATAAAGATGAATGTACCCATACTTTGTGATTAAATATATTACATCATATTTTGCACTAACCTAAATAATTGACATAGTAAGTCAAGGTTTTGTATAAATCACAAACCTATTTCTAGTTCGGGTTTTTCTTACTTGCATCGCTACTGGGAAATCATTGGCTGCTTCTCCTGGAAAGAAAACATCAACTGCTTTCTTTGAAAATGGCTGATTACCAGTTGGAGGCTGGCCCACTTCAATGATATGCAACTAAAGGAAAAACAATTTTTAAACTATTGCACAGGTTTAGTGTTCTTGAGAGAATGACAATGAAAATACCTTTGCTCCTTGAGTTGAACGGACAGCAAAGCAGAATAAGGTAGACATTTCTGCATTACCCTCCATTTTGAACTGCGCAAACGAAGCAGCATGACCTTCGATTGGCTGAGAACACTTTCTTTCAACAGAGTAAAGTTGCATAGCTCCAGCAACACGATTTTGCTATAAAAAATTATGTATATTTAAAAAATACATGTTCAAACATAAATGAAATTCACTTAAGGAAAAAAACCTACTTGTGCTGATATCCCAATAAGGAGTAACCATGTTTGCTTAGAATCTGTTCTATAATTTATTATTTGGCATGATGTCAAGCTGGAATGTCGGTCGAACATTTTGACTGGCTGAGACTCTCCTTCCATACTCCAGTGGTATACTGATAATTCTGTCACCAACGCTAATGTATTTAATGAAATCCATTTCCAAAATACAACATCATCAATCATTGTGTGAGCTTTCATTTTACTTTTCATTTCAATGTTAAAGATTTGCAATGTTTTCTGGGCTAAAGAAAAAAAACAAAAACAAGTAAGTTATATGATATAAGGCTAATAAAAAATTGCAACAAAAATATTTTTAGTACCTTTTAAAGCTATAACTTTACTGGCTGGATTCATTATTGCAGAATCGGCAGATATTGGGCGTCTTATAGGGTTTGCTGTATCATTTAAATCGATAATAACAACCTGCGAAGAATCCCCCACTTTTTCTCTTACACAAATGAATTTGTCCGATTCCATAGTCAAGGAGCTGAAACTAACACTAGCTTGATTTATCCCCACGCTCGTAAGCTGAAACAAAAAGCAAAAAATTCAGTGAGCTGATAAAGTACCAGTTTTAAAGCACATTAGTAATTAAAAATTAATATATATCCATAAAATAACTAAGTAAGTGAAAGAAATGATGAAATGGCCCAAGCTGGTGAAATGACGAATCTTGAAATTTATAGCAGTTATAAGTCCATCTCTCTCAGGACGGTGAGCGTGATAATTCCATGAAGCAGTGTGTTACGTAAACAATAAAAAAAGTGTGTGTTGATTAGTGACCGTTAATCGATTTCTGAATAAATAAAAAAACTGCTGTTTTCTAAATTTTCTACTTCTAGTGCTAAAAATATTAAATTAAAAGGTACACCGCTTGTGTCAAATTGAATCTAAAAGTGAAGATAGATAGAACACGATATTAATACGGCCAGACAGGACTCCAAATTTATTTTTTCATGAATACTATTGATAAACTTTAAGAATTTGTGTAAGTCTGTTAGTGTATCTTTCCAAACAATTTCTTAGATTTTAGAAATAGTATTCACGAAAAAGTACATTTCACTATGGATATAGAAAATAATAGAAAACTAAACTTTTTGGATTTAACAATTCAAATTAAAAATAATAAATTTAATTTCAATATATACAGAAAACCATCCACCAAAGACAACATGATCCACAATGAATCTAATCACCCATGGACCCACAAAATAGTTGATTTTGTGTGTTAAGAAATAGAGAAAACTATGACAAAGAACTCCTGATTAAACATTTGGCCAAAAATAATGGATACAAACAAGCCTTCTATAATTGATACATAAAGAAGAAAAAGCTAACTATAAACAAAGCACCGGGATTTCAAAAAGGTTTTCTTATTTATCCCTTATTATTTGGAAATCGTGAGATGTGATCTGGTGTGATGTTTCAGAACAACATTTTCTTTATCATGCCAACGCTTCGACCTTTATTGAGACCATCTTCAGGGTCTGGGATTTACAAACATTGTTTAAATGTAACAAATACATGTAGGATGTGGGAAAAAAGTGAATTTATACAATGCAAAAAAATATTTTTTATATTCTATCTATACTTTTATATATGTTGGATTTTGAAGGGGTGGGGAAGGAAGTCGATATAGAAAGACATTTTTGTATAAGGAATCGGCTTCTTTGAGGTGAAAAGAGCTGACAATGAGAAAAAACGTTGGTAATGGATCGGCCAGATTATCTGTTATGAATGTTTTATATGTTCATCACATTCCACACATCAAACATTTTTACATAGTTTAATTTTTCAACAATTTAGCTTTCCTTTTCCTAATTATCCCCCTCTATATAATCCTGAAAGGATAATCTGGTCGAACCATTACCAACGGTTTTTCCCATCGTCAGTTCTTTTCACCTCAAAGAAGCCGACTCTTTATTCAAAAAAAGTCTTTCTATATCGACTTCCTTCCCCACTTCAAAATCCAACGTGTATAAAAATAAAACAGCAATATCTCACTGGCACTCTCAATATGATACGCCAGAGTGGCACAATTACGCAGAAAACAAACACTTTGAGTGAGTACAAATACTTTGATTGAATATAAAAAATATTTTTTGCATTGTATAAAATCACTTTTTTCCACATGTATTTTTTAAATTTAAACAATGTTTGAAATCCCAGGCCCTGAAGATGATCTCAATAAAGATCGAAACGTTGGCATGATAAAGAAAATGATTTTCTGGAACCTACATCACACCAGACCGCATCTCACGATTTCCGAATAATCATCGACTAACGGTCACTAATCACCACACATTTTTATCCCTTATGTAAAAAACATTAGCAATAGTTTTAGTAAAATCATTTCCAAGAAAGAAGTTAAAGTAGCATATAAAATATAAATTCACCCATAAAATGTTATCAAATGCAAAACAAAATAAAAAATAAAAATGTATTTGCAACTCGTGTAAAGGTGTATACGTGGGACAGACAGGAAGAAAATTCACAACAAGAATAATGGAACACCTACCAAACCAAAATAGACCCTCAGATTTTAAAGATCACCCTTTCAACATGTTGACATAAATGGACACACATAGAAGGAAAAAGGCCTGACTATGAATTGGAAAAAAAGTTTGAAATCCTCAAAAGTGATCTAGATCCGGAAGAAGAGTACCTAAATAAGATGAAAGACTTCTCATACCCCTCAACATCTCCTAAAAATCACGCATAAAAGAAAGTTTGGGATCCCCAACCAACATGTCACACCACTTTTGCAGAAAAGAGATTGAGGCACGGGCAATTGTTGAAGGAACCCACTAACGATAAAGAAAAACAAAACAACTAGCCTTCCTTTTACTTACTAATTATAAATTCTCATAATTATATTAATTTTATATTACAATGGGTATACAGTATTGTAGATAACACACCAAGATGATGGGGGCAATAAACTCTGAAACCGGTTGTGAAATTTACATCCTAATCGTAACCAATCCAAGTTAAGAGGCACATCAAAACAGTCATTATATCTAATAAAAAAATACTTCACAACAATCAAAAAATCCAAATTTCTATTATGATTATTCAAAATTTTACTCTAGTCAACAAGCTTTTCAAAATTAAGTAATAAAAGGTCAGTCCGACATTGGTATTTTCAATTGTTTAGCTATCAAAACCAAATACACAAATGATGAGAAGAAATTAAATGAATCATTGTTTGATAATTATCAGATTGGACAAAAGTTGTTTATTTGTACTAACTTCTATATAAAATAAAATTATACAAATAAACAATAGATGAGTGATTCTTACGCCTGTATATTAGAATGACTAATACTTAAACCTAGCCAAACACCACCGAATTCATGTGGAGCAAAACTTTCTCCCTTTAAATCACTCAAACTTGCCAAAACTTTCATATCACATTAACATGAATGACTGGCTTATTTATTTCAAATGTTTGAACCGTGCTTAAGTTTGTGTTAGAGGCTTGTAATTTTTTTACTCAGTAATACAGTGGTACCTTGAAATTCGAGTGCCCAACGTATGAGTCTGACCTCTCAATAGGTCACAATTTTGAGTTATGAGCCAGAAGTTGATACATGAGCCTGCTATAATAGAGCTAGAATTTGAGATATGAACCTGCTCTGGTAATGTCACAACCACCACGTTGTTGGTCACTTACTTTGTTCAGTTCATATGTTTGCCCCATCACAGAAGCATTTCCATCTTATTTAGTTTTAATTTTGTGTTTTTCTGTACTTTTTTTACTGTTTTTAGCTTTTTTGTGTATAATATAATTTGTTTTTAATTTATATTATAATCAAGGTACATAAAAGGGAACTGAATGAAGTAAATAATTTATACTATGTATATGCTATCATTGTAAATACATTTTTTAATTTTTTAAGGGCTGGTACTAATTAATCTCATTTCAATTTCAATAAAGAAAATTGACTTGATACGTAGAGCATTTTACTTACGAGCTCAGTCATGGAAAAAATTAAACTCATATCTCAAGGTACCACTGTAATATAAGTTTAACTCTTCCTTTAATTAACAGCAGGTAATAATAAATATTTGTTGTTCAATTGGTGAAAAATGAGTTTTTCCAGTTTTTGGAATTTCATGAGCATTAAATGTTTTCGATTAGTCAAGTGGCAAAGTTCATTGCTAAAAATCATTGTAAACAAAATTAAAAAATAAAACAGAAAATGTCAGCATAAACACGTCTTATTTTCCCGTTGGCTGTGAAGATTGTCAAGTACTTTTTTTCTTTCAAACACTGTATTTTTGTTGTTGCTCTTTTAACTTTTTGAAATAAGAAAAAATAGTGAAACACAAATTGTATATTCAGTGCCATGCATGTGTGAGTAATGAAGTTAAATTTAATTTAGTGCAAATTATAATAAAAGAGATTAACTTTCTTTATAGGTCATGAATTTTTGTATGTAAATAGCTATACATGGAAAGGCTCCACATTGGTTCTTTATCATTTTCTCATATAATAATATTTTTACAAACACAGTTTAGATAAGGAGAACTCTGCTTGTAACTGTAAACAAACCTTGGTTATATAACTAAAATTCACGTATTGCATTAAATTCATATCGGTACATTTGTAAAAATAACAAATAAATAAATTAATTAATTTAAAAAATTATAAGTTTAGTTAAGGTAATTGTATATTAATTTACATTATACAAGTCAGATGGTTGGAGGTAAAGAGAAAAAACACTTCTGCTTCACCATACCCATGGTTGTAGTGTATTTAAAAATGTCCCTTGTACAGACACAGATTGAGTTGAATCGCGGAACCACTGCTGAGAATGAGCCAATGAAACCAAAACATACAGAATGAAGACCATGAAATATGCCATACAACAACATGGTTATAATTCTTTTTTAAATTTTAAATATTATATAAGAATTATTTCACTTTAAACACACAAGACAACATTTACTAATTAGCAAGTTCAATTAGTAAATTTAAGCAATTTTATGTATTATATTAAATAAATAAATTAAGTAATAAGTATTAATGCCTATTAAAGTAGGTAAGTAACAAATTTAAAGATCCATGTTTAATTCTTTTATTATTGTTTGGAAGTAATCTATCCTTATCCATCTCATGTCACATAAATTTAAAGAACCATGTTTAGAACAGGCCGGAGTCAGGATAGTCCATTAGAGTCCAGTTCTTAGAGCATCATTTGAAGATTGAAAGCCATTTAAGATTTAAAAGAACACCAGAGAATTTTAAATTTTCATGGTATCTAAAGTTTATATTGAAGTAAATATTCAACACTGTTAGATCACGTTAATTTATCACTATTGACAATCAAATGTTGGTAAACGATGCCCATTCCGCAAATGCCAATTCACTTTTGTTAATTCTAACCGGCAGTTTACATGGGGAGGGAGATTTAGATACAGCAGAATAACAAAAACAGCTAAAAGCAAAAGAAAAACTTAATAAAAAATAATTAATTAATGGTTTAACTATTTAAGAATGATTAGTTTGGTCGTTTTTGATCATAATGGTATATGCCATCCTCACTATTTTTGGCCTGTCAGGTTTCAGCATGGGTGTGAGTTCCTGTTTAATCAGGTCTCTTTTGTAAAATGGTGCAAAGCCGAAAGCAGTTTGAGTAACATCCAAAACCAATGCGTGTAAACGGATCAAGTGCTGGTTCAACGTATGTTTAAGGACTTGCAGATCCACCATCAACTATTTTGTAAAGGTTGTGAAAGATGGAAGGAGCCTTTTTTTCCAGCCTCTTGTTCCAATTGATCATTTTTTGTTTTTTAATTTTAATACTGTTTTAATTAATTTAATAAATCATTTGTTATGCCACAGCTATCCATAATCACCTCCATAAAGCGCGACACAAAGACAGAATAGGTAGAGAAAAAACTTATATAACTAATAAAAACAGGACAAAAAAAAGGCTCTATTTTGCATGAGAACATGTCGACAAGTGCCTGGACTTCTAGAAAAATAACTTCTCGGATGAAAGTAAGTTTAATATTTTTGGATATATTACATTTGTAGGAAACAGAACCTGGTATTAGGAAGTTCAAAATATAACACCGACTGTGAAGTGAAGCAGTAAGGTATTCTTCTTAACATCCATCATAATGTATTATTTGTTCTAAAAAGATAACAGCCCAAAGCATACAGCCAGAATAACCAAAGACTGGTTCAATTACGACTGTAACTCTTTACCTTTACCCACACCCCAACAAATTCCTTGATATAATCCCAAATGAAAATTTATGGGCTATGGCAGAGAGTAAAATTCGCAAAATTAAACGTTCCTTAATGGAGAAAATGATACCAGCCTTAATAAATACAAGTTGGTTACAAAATGTGAATTATATTATTTCTCATATATTTTTTTTAAACAAATAATTTCATTAAATGTTTTATTGTCCAAAGATTTGTTATAAAATAAAATTAAAGAAAAAATGCTAGAACACCCTAAGTGACCCACTGTCAATTCAACTTTCAGCCTGGTCTGCTAAACCTGATTTGGTTTAGAATTTGTCCTCTTTTAAAAAAAGTTTGCCGACCCAGTCTGATCTATAGAAACAGTTTGAACATGTTTAAATCCTTGATGCTCTGGTGGTCCAATTTTTTATTTTATTTAAGGGATGTTCCATTTGAATTTCTATATTCATTGTTTTGGGATCCGAACGAAAGACAGTTTGTTTGAATATCTTTGTTAAAAGTCAAAAAGAGAATGGGACAAAGAGCAAAATCGAAAAGGCATTCATGAAGAAACCGAAAAGGCAACTGTTAGTGGAATTGAGTAAAGGGAAGCAGGTTGAAAAGGTTGAATGAAACAAAACAGAATTGACGAGGCTTCTGTGAGGGCCTATTTCAATCAAGTTTACTGATATAATCAGTAATTATTGAACAAATATGAAAAGGCATTTCATAAATACTTCTATTGCAGCATTCAATATTTGATGCTCTGATCTCAAATCTCTTTTAACAGTCCATTGCACATCATTCTAAGAGATGCATGGACGATATTTCTATTAGAACATGCAAATTTCTCCCCCTAGCCATAACTATAGCCGATGATGACCTACAATGCCGACGAAGAATTTGATTGTAATAATGAATTTATTCTTAAGTGCCGATAAAAAGCAAAGTGGAAAAGTCATCTCTGGTAAATAAACCGAAGCATGTAACAGGAATCAGGAAGGCAGGCAAGCAAAAGGTTAAATGAAGCAAAAGAAAATTGAGGATTTTGCGAAAGCCTATTTCAGTTAGGTTTACTAATAATCAGTTATTATTGAACAAATCTTAAAATGCATTTCACAGAATACAAGGCTTCTATTGCAAAACCTTGATGTTCTGATGGTGCCCAAATCTTTTTTTGAGGGAATATTCCATCTGAATTTCTAACACCCGTTGTTTTGGAATGGGAATGAAGGATGAATAACAGCCTTTTTTACAAGTCAAAATGAGGAAAGGTTTACTAATAGATAATCAGTAATTATTGTACAAAACCGAAAAGGCACAGAATACAATTCCACTACAGTGTTCCTTGATGGTTAAAGGAATGTTCATGAATTTCAAGACTTGGAAAATGAATGATGGCTAGTTTTTTATAAGTTTAGTACAAATTGTAAATAAAACACTTATTTGTTTACATTAATTTCTATTAATCGAATCTGATTTGTTTTTGTGAATGCATTATGCAACCTGTGATTAATGACTCAAGCCAGCTTTTACAAGTATATTTAACGAACAAATTCAACTCTTTCCCTATACTCTTGTCAAGAAATAACATGCTTAAATAGAATAAAAATGTTTTATTTATTTATTTAAAAAAAAGGATTAATTAATAAGTGATTTGATGTCAGGTACGGTTCGCCCGTTTCATGAATAGACAGGTCGGCTTCGTCTCTGAGAGAACGTGTCTCATTTCATGAATCACCACGGGTTTTGATTTAATCCTCGCGATCCTGTCGGTCAAAAACCACCTAAAAAAAGACCGATTCAAGGAAAAAACAAAAACAAAAATCTAAGGAATTCCAAGCCTAAACCGGTAAAAAATAAGACAAAAACGTCTAAAAATAGGCCTTTTTAACTTATTTTTGGCCGGAAACGTCAAAGGATGAGAAATAATGACGCCAAAACGGCACATAAGTTAATTTTTTTTTAAAGATTGTTTACACAACAGTATCTTTTTGTTAATGGTATCCTGCAGTGTGGAACAAAAAGATAAGATAAATAAAGGCAAAAGATGATAGTTGACATGTGGCCCGGAGCCTCCTCCAACTATTGATAAACTTCGGAAGCGAAACCCGTTCCGACCGGCGATAACCCCGCAAAAGACCAAATCCTCCAAAAAGAAGCGAAGTCTTTTCGAAAGAGATTCGGATATCGCAATGGAAAAAATAAAAAAATAGAAATCCTTTTGGACCGACGTTCGAACTTCAATTCAATCAAAGGAGGCCTATTAACTAATTTAATGTCACGATTTGACGTTTTAACAAGGGTCGCGGCGGAAAAAAGAGAATAAAGGACTGGGTAAAGAAAGTAAGATGGATCAGAGGAAGAATCGGATTAAGGAATGAGGGATTAGGTAAAAGGTTTAACCTGGAAAACGAGAGTCGGCCTGCAAAACGAAACCTCCGGGGGCGTTAAACCGAGATCGGGAAAACAGGATAAGGGCGAAAAAGTTGTTAATAAAGGAATAATTAATGGGAATGTTTGGGAAAGGGTTTCCCGGTTGTGGTATGCGATGGGAGACCGGCCTGCCTGGAGATAGCGGTGTCATAAGCCGAGGGGGAGTGAATATCGTATTCCCTCTCGGCCGCGATTCTCTTCTCGCCCCGGTACAAAAAAGAGAAAAAGAAAAAAAAGCTCACCGTGAGGTGCTCCTGAAAGCGTATCGGGAGTATTTGCGCCATTTCCAACGTTGTTTTGCCCAGGTGGGACTGAAAATGATGAACTGACGGTCGACGAGAGAGAACGGATGATAAAACGGCCGTCTAGAGAGACCGTGTCGAGGCTGCCATTATCTACGAGAAAGTAACAACATGGCCAACACAGACACACAGCCGGAATCTGCCGAGTGTATTCATCCGCGGTCTGACGGCCGGAAAAGCCTTTTAACCAACGGAACAGGGGCCGTTTTTCCGTCGGGGCCACAAAGACGACAAATCCCGGAAAAAGGTCGACGGAAAAACTTCCACTTTTCACCGTTCCGACGGGTTTTTGACGACGACGGACGAATTGAACCGTCGGGACTATTTTCTTCCGCTGATTCACTCGTCAACTGCCACATGGACAACCTGCGCAAGAGATTATTATTTTTTATTGATATTCCACTCTGTATATTTTATTTTCCCGGTTTATTTTATAATTTTTCCAATTTGTTTTCTTTTTATTCTGCTAATCCCGCCTTCCGCGTTGTCCCGAGACGGCCCACGACCCCCTGGCTCCAAAACAAATTTAAATCGCATTAATAAATCGAATTACGAATCACTTCCTCTTATCAATTTCACCTCGTCCCGAGAATTGCCGGCCTCGACATCTCTTTCAATCCAGTCAAATTCGGGAAAATCTCTCCGGGAATAAATCTCCTGAGAGATTTTCCCGGGAAAATTCCGCCCCTCCACCGATATCGGTTCGAGACGAGATCGCCGAGAATCGGGATTGTCGCCAATTTTCGAATCGGCCCGCCATTCGGATATTCCCACGTTTTGTCCATTATTCAACTCTTTCTTCCCCCATTAATTCGATAGTTTCCCTTATCTTTTCTATGCCAGTCGAAAAATGAATCCATAAACATATCAAACCGATTGCAAATCCCAGTCGACAGCATCCATGAGTGGACAGATTCTTGGAAGATTAAAATAAATTACCAGAAATGCGTTCTTCGAAATTTCACAAACCAAACGTCTTCAATGGTAAAGTATTGGGTTGTCTTGAAAGTAATGCAGCTTAATGGTCATAAAATGAAAGCAATTAAATTAATGTGTGGTGATTAGTGACCGTTAATCGATATTTATTTAGAAATCGTGAGATGTAAACATGTAAATGTAATTGTTATATGTAAACAATGTTTGTAAATCCCAGGGCCTGAAGATGATCTCAATAAAAATCGAAACGTTGGCACGATAAAGAAAATGTTTTTCTGAAACCTACATCATACCAGACCGCATCTCACGATTTGGAAATAAATTAAATTAAAAATTTTAAACATTTTTTTATTAAATAAAATACCATCCATCACTCCAGAGATACCTCTCTCCTCAAATGATTTATGGACACTTTGATCTGAGATACTTTAACTGAAATTAAATAATTATGTAAATAGAAGATGATGTGCAGGGTGTTGCATACCCTCTGAATAGAATTTTGAGTCTTTATTATTAACAGATTCTGTAAACGCGTTTTCTAACTACTTTTTATCGATAATTTTTTTATGTTGTATGATTGTCCAGATGTCTAACCAAGATCCAACAGTTTTCGTACATGTGAGAGCCTGAGTGGGGTCGAGCTTTGTCGTGTATCAGAATCGGACTTTTCTGATTGACGAAAGATGGCTTCATTAATGCCAATTTCTGGTGCATTGCTTCAATTTGAGACCATTACATTTCGGTATTGATTGTTTCTCCAGGATTCAAGAAGCTGTAGTAAATCAGCCCCAGCGAAGCCCACCAAAGAGTCACCATCAACTTTTTTTTTATGAGTTGGTGGCTTTGGAAAATGTGGTGCGCTTCTCCTTTGTCGAACCACTGCCCACAACGATTGCTGCTATCGTAGAGAATTCACTTTTCACCACAAGTAACAATTTTATCCGGAAAAGGTCCGTTTCTGTTAAGGCAAAGAAATTTTGCGCAAACTTCATAAGGATGATTTTTTTGGCGGTTGCACAGTAGAAGGCTAGGACAGGGTCGGTCTAGGTCTACAGACAGAGAAATGATAAATTCATCCATAATTACACGAAATGACATAAGAAATCTAATAAGGCAAGCCCGAAATGTTTCAATTTCCTCCAGGACTGTAAGAAGAAGGCAATGAAAATAACCTCAGGGCCTGACACCCGGCTCGTGGATCTCACCTTACCACAGCTCAGAAAATGGTCAGGCTTCAATTCGTATGGGAACATGGAAGATTGTGAACGAGTTCTCTTTATAATGAGATGAGAGTTGGCCTCAAATCTTCAGATGGGCGTAATTTCATATGGAGACGCTCAGGAGAAAGGTACGCCTCATTCAGTATGGTTCCTCAGATGATATTCTATGGTGGTTCATTGATGTTCTGGGGTACCATTTCCTTGGACGCCCGCACCGAATGGTTGTTGTGCTAGGAAGTTCCCTTACTTCACAGAGGTACCTACAAGTCATAATCGAAGAACATGTAGTGCCATTTGCCCCCACATCGGTGAGATATTCTTCCTAATGCAGGACAATGCCAGGCCCCATTTTGGATGACTACCTGAATGAGGTTGAAATTGAGTGCTTGGTGCGACAAGCTCAAAGCCCAGATTTGAACCCAATCAAACATATTTGGGACCACCTTAAGCGATGAGTACAACGGCAAAACCTAGGCCCTAACACCCTAGAAGAGTAGGAAACGGCTGTTCTTGATGAATGGGAAAGAATTCCTCAGGATTTTCTAAGGAATGCAAAGGCGCCTAACGGACGTATTTCGTGCCAGAGATATTGTTATATTCGGTATTAAAGAAGACAAAAAATTTTATTTTTTGTTCTTTACTCAGTATGTTTTTAGAATTAGGTAATAAACATTTTCTTTTTAAATGTCTTATTTTTTTACAACCAAACCTATTTTTGTTTTGCAAAATATAAATAAACCTGAATGCATTAAAATTTAAGGGTGGCGCGTTAATTTTATCCATTAATGTATATGGATATGCGGTAAACAACTCTGGATGTGTGCCAAAAGAAGCAATACAATCAAAATACAACGGTCCAAAATACAACAAAGTGTTTCAAAATATGGTCGGTGCACCTTGGTATGATCACAATAGCGACATACACAAAGATCTGAATATCTCTCACATCGACATGGAGATGAAATAGCGCGACATATATTTGGGTCAATGTCCAATAATAATGATTTTAAAATTAATAAAAAACAATCTTGTTAGTTACTAATTACGAAATTTATTTTTGCCAAGTGAATTCTACCGGGAAAACGGAATAATTTGTTAACAAGGTATCTGTCAGTTGTGAGGCTTTTGAGTGTGTTCAGTCGTCCGTCATATCTATCTTTCGGCTCTTGCGTTGAGTCTGCTGACGTTCGTCTTTAATGGCAGCCTCCAATAAGATGTTCATCTCGCTGGGGTACGGTTTCAGCCGGTTCTGTTCTCCGTCGTCTTCACTGTTGTTTTCGTTGTCCTTCAGCAACGGAGTGGCATAGCGCTCCCGGCTGAGATTTCCCTGAGAATACGTCACACTGACTAAACCTTTGTCGGGAGATTGAGTTCTTCTTCTTTTTACAGGGCTTGTCTCCTGAAATATTTCGTTATCCCTCAGTCTAAAAAAGCAATATCAATCAAATGTCCTTCAAGTGTGGCTGTACTCACCATATTAATTCCCGTTTAACGTAAGTACTAATAAATGTTGTATTTTGGCTAAAAAGCTAGACTACACTACATGGGAGAGTTGCTTAGCAACGTTTACTTTTCACTTTTGTTTAAATTTTATAGCTAAATTTTTATATCCAACCCAAAAACGCAAACATATGTTAAGATAAAACCAAAAGCAAAACTGAAAATTGCTGACAATTGTTAAACTAGAAAATAATATCTGTTGGGAATTTTTATCAAATGTTTGGTGCGTTTTCTGCATCTCAATTTTGAGCCAGTTTAGTTGCAAACCATTCTGTGTGAAGGACAGTTTAACATAGCATCTTTGATTATACACGTATGACAGATTAAAACGATCATATAGATAATAACCAGAACAGTATGACCGGAAACTACCAAGCTAATGGTCCATCACCCGGCAGACCTTAACAATTTACCAATAAATTTATTATAATTAAATTTAGTAAATTCTTAACTGAATATCAAACGACAAGTGTTTGACAGATCCAAAACAGAGTCCAGGAGTCCAGACAAATCAGGATAACCGGAAACGACCGAACAACTTATCCTTGAATAGTGGGGACCTTTTATAAGTTTTTTTGATTGATATTTTCATTATTCTATAATAATACATCTAAATACTTGTCCCCCTTACTTGTAAACTAGTTTAACCCAAATATTAAGTTTTTGTGAGATTTCTTCATGTTGCCCGCCAGGTGATGATAACACTCTTTAGTTAATATTTATGAAAGGAATAGGTCGAGATAAAAAAGTCAGTGTCACGAGCAGGATTCGGACCCACGATCTTCGGCTAAATACGCCACTGCTCTACCACTTGAGCTATCGTGACTTCGATCCGCTCGGACATACTCTTTAGTATTCTTTCAAATATGAACACGGAGATGCGGATTACGTGCTGTTTTTTACTAAGTTTATACTCGATCATTCGGGTGCCCAGATACAAGAAATATCAATGTAATGTTTGGGGATGTGTTGATGAATAAACCTATGAAGAGTTCCATCATTGACGACGAAGTCCTCAAGCGTACTGGGAAAGAAAATCAAAATCAAACAGCCAGAGCTCAAAGCACAACTAAAAACAAGTGCACTCACAGTTTCAAGCCAATTAGAACTGTAGAAAAATTAAAAGGCTTGATTTATGGGTGCCTCGTGAGCTCACTGAATGGCAGGAGTTGAAGCGACATGATATATGCGTTTTGTGGCTTCCTAGGCCAAAAATCGAGCTTTTTCATGAAAGAAGAATGAAAAAATGGATTGTGTACGACAATCTGCGTCGGTCAGGTCAGTGGTTAAATGTTCGCGAAAGGCCAACAATGCCAAACCAAATTTTCACCCCAACCCCAAAGTAATTACTCCCAGCTGTCTGAGAGGTGATGAAACTAAAGTTTCATCGTTACAGATCAATCTGGTCTGCCTAGTCTCGCTGGCTTCGCCTGTCAGACGAATTTCGCTATCTACAGTGTGTGAGGAAGAAAATTGTAGGATTCTATGCGTGAAAAAACATCGAATCATGGATACATAATCTAACCCACAGCGGAAGATAAAGAGACGTGCCTGATAAACCAACCCGCCGAGGATACGCAGACCAAATTTGGTTCTTAACTTCTCTTTTTTAAATGTTACACTGTTTACTTTTATTATCAAAAACTATATGAAGGTGGTGAAACTCCATATCTCTCATTCCTTACCGAACATAATCTAACCCTGATCAAACCTAACCTAAACCGATGTTCACTCTCCGTTCGAGAAATCGATTTAAAAAAAATGTATCCAGCCCAAATGTTCATAAAAGAGGCGGCAGAAGAACATTTTTCGATAATTCTTCACCCGTGGCTGAAGATGACCAATGCCGTCCAGAAGAACCTGAAATTTAGTCTTTACCGACCGTTCTGTCCTGCCTATCCTCATTGGGTTGGCCTGTCAGACGCATTTCGCCATCTTCAATGTGCGAGGAAGAAAATAGTAGGAAGAAAATGACCCGATTCCTCCTTGCTATCATCTCATTTTCGAAAAAAAAAAAATCGAATCATGGATATGCAACTTAACATAAGCTGAAAGATGGCGATATGTGCCTGATAGATCAACCCAGCGAGTATAGGCAGAATTTAGTTTATGACTTCTATTTTTTCAATGTTATAACTGTTTACTCTGTTTACTTTAATTATGAAAAACAATATGAAGGTAGCAGAACTCCATCTCTCGTTCCTTACCGTACCTAACCCTAATGGAATTTAACATAAACCCATGCCCACTCTCTATTCAGGAAATCGATGGAAAAAATTGTATACAGTGGCAATATGTTTTGATATGAAATCTCCATCCGTCTCGTCTCGCTGGTTTTGTCTGTCGTCATTCCGCCATTCCGCTATTTTATCAGGACGGACAGAACTGACAGCCCGTTAAATAGAAGTTCTAGCTCGTTCAAATGCGATCTTTAATGTTCAAAAGGAAAATAATATTAGACTAGATTGACAATTAAAAGCGTGGTTCTTCAAAAAGAAAAACGCCAACGGCAAGGAGAATAACCAACTTTGAACTTCTCGATTTTTCCCGCTTTCAATCAATGGTAACTCAATATAGAGTTATTTCGACATTGCGTTAAATTTCAACGTCACGTATTGGAATAAAGAACAAAATTCAAAATTAAATTGAAGTTTGTGAAGAAGCTTTTGTTTTCGTCGTCGCCGTCACGACCGGATATCTGCGCCGGTATTACAACCGAGACATGAAATTGAAAGTACCAAAATAGTTGGAAAATTTCGCGTTTTAACTTTAATTCGGGATTCGACGGAAATAAAAGACTTTTCTTCTCGTTGTAAGGCGAAGTCGAGGACCCTTGGGAGTTTCTTCCGTTTTGGAAATTACCAAATAGTTTTTCTATTTATCACCCAGAGATTGGAAGTTTGCAACCTCCCCGGGATCGCGTTCGCCAGTTCAAAGGCTCTGTCGCCAGTTCCATTTTCCGGTTCAAAAAAGCCCTGGCAGAGTTCCGCCCCCGGGCTGGGAATCGCGAGATGAGGTAGACTCGCCGCCCCCGGATTTCATAGAGCGTCCCTTGGGCCCTTTTCTTAGAAAGAGCGCAAATTGACATGAGACGGGATCCCTCCTCGGCCCCGAGACAGTAGAAGACTTTCATCTGCCTCCGATCGTCCGACCTCCCAGCCGGAGGCAGCGTCCATCCGCCAGCCGGGCCCGGCCCCGCCGCAGCGAACCCCGATTTCTCATCTCATTGCCGGCCGTACGACCTACGAATTGTCATCACGGTGGAGCTGATTTTCCAGATCGAAGGTACGTCTCGCTTTTCGTCCTTTATCCAAAGAGCCTGTTTGTGATATGGTGAGATCCTTTAACTCACCAATTCACTTCCCCTTGCCATTAACCCTTAACTTGGCGAAGAAAAAAAATCGCCATATTTTTTATAAAAAGGGTTAATTAAACCTTGAATTTAACGGTTTATTCCTAAGAAAATTATTTTAAAAAATCCTGAAATGCCCAATTATCCTGGAATTGAATTTTAAACTTCTGTCTCTGTGGATACACTGCCAAGTCCAGTGATGAAAAAAAATCCAAAAAAAGAAAAATCTTGTTTACCTTCTTTTATCTATAAAATCAATTTAAAATCATTGTTATTCTCTAAAGATACATGTAATAAGGTTTAATCAGAATTAATACAAAATTAAAAAGGCAAAAATTGTCGTTTTGTGAGAATATCTACAAATCAAGTAAATTGAGGGGGGTCTTGGATCTTGAGGGTTTTTGCTAATTATCGTCCACAGGAAAAATATCTTGGTCAATTATGTTTAAATGAAGTACTCAATTGTCTTTTTCCGACATTTGGTTTCCTTAGTGGCGAGTAAAATTCACTTCCTCTGCCTCCACTTCTTCAGTGTTGGAAGTCTTTGGAACCGCCATCAGTCTCAATGGACAGTCATTACAAATCAATCCGTACGCCATTCATATAAGATACAAGTAATGAGGTTAATTCATTATTAAAATGAAGGTAAAAAACAAATCAAAAAAGGAATTTTGTACGGAATTCTTAAAGTGTAGTCAGGTATGGGGGTCGTCTTGGATGTTGAAGATATTTGCTAATTATCGTTCACAGGAAAAACAACATGGACAATTATGTTCAAATAAGTTTCTAAATGTTCTTTTTATTACACATTTCTGACATACATTTTCCTTTGAGATGAAGAGCAATATCCTCCGTCTCCACTTCAGTGTTGGTAGTCTTTGGAGCCTCTATCAAGCTCAAGGGACAGTCATTACAAATCAACTTGTGCACCCTTCATATAAGATATAAAGGATAGAAGATAAAAACAAAAAGAAAAAAATTGTAATTTTGAGTGAATTTCTACAAATCAAATCAGTTGTCAGAGGTGGTCTTGGATGTTGACAGTTTTATTAAATTATTGCCCACAGGAAAAACATTTTCTGCAATTATGTTTATATAAAGTTCTTAATTTTTTTCTTCTGACAATTGCTTGCCTCTCAGATGAAGAAAAATCATCTCCTTTGCCTGCACTACACCACCGTTGGTAGTCTTTTGGAGCCCTCAGGCTCAAGGAATAAAGTTCTCCTTTTTCTTTTTCCAACACTTTTCTGACATTTACACGTTTTCACATGTTTTACTCTGTGATGAGGAAAAAATTAACTCCTTTTCCCCCATCTTTTTCAGTTTCGAATTGGAGTTATCAGGCTCACAATATTTTTTAAGTTGGGGATAGAATTTTCTTAACCTGACTTCTATGGTTTGTTTGTAACTTTTCTTTTTTGGACTTGGCAATGTAATATGGTCTTGGTACACTGTGCGATAAACCTAACTTCGTCTCTAAGAGAAAAATAAGTTACACATGGGCTAAATAGACCATTAATACCGAAATCAATCTGTAATATCTTCGAGAACCAAAATAGATTTTTATTGTTTCTTTCAATATTTTGGTGTGTATTTCCATTGCTGAGTTAAGGGTTAAGTACCATCTTTAAGCTATGATATCACAGCAATTTTTATTTTTTACCCATTCCCATGTGGAACCAATATGGCAAAAATAATTGTTATAACTAGTTTTAGTAGTGATTAGATACATCAGTTTTCTGCATCTAAGCTTTCAATTTTATAGTTAAGAGGCATCATGATGAGGTCTGCACCTCAAGAGCTGCTATTAGGTTTTTAATTGAAAGAGACCGGAAACGAATGGATTCAACCTCAAGCTAAGCAATCTTAAGATAGATTTTCTGAAAGCTGCCATCTGTCAATGATCCAATTTTATTCCAAAATTTTACATTTTTACTAATAATAACTGGAAATGAGAGGAAAAAACATAGTGAACATTAAAACACATGTTTATTTACCTCCACAAAGGCTCTGAAAATTGATTGCATTTCGTTTCAGCGCATAGTCATTTTAATATGTAGTTTGGTCGTCTCCAATCATCCTGGTCTGCCCATTCTTGCCGGTTCGGCCTGTCGGATGGGTTACGACATGTCGCCATCATCAGTACTGGGTTTGTATTTTAATACGCTGAGGAATTTATTTGACACAAAAATCAATGAAAGTTTATAGAACAAGGTATTCCTGTCAACTGGATTGAATACCTTATTCTAATACTATGTACTTAACATAAAACATATTAATAGTACAACTGAAGTTGCATCTTGCTATGTGCGGTAATTGAGTAATTAGCCACAATTTTAAATTCATGTTGTGTCTGATTCAAGAATAAATGGCAAAATTATTAATAGCTTTTTATGTATATTATTTAATTAAAGCCTAAACACTAGAAATAACTTTGTATTAGTGTAAGCTAATTATTATTTATGTAGTAAGTATTTAAGTAATATTAAGCAATTAGTTCGACCAAAAACTGGTATTGTGAAATTTGATTATCATTTTATTTGTTGTTTGATTTCAGTTTGCCGCGTCCAGCGCCGTGAAATGGATGATATGGGGATGGGGGATAACTCCCAAGAGCCAGAAATGACTATTACGAATACCAGCAACGATCTGTCTTCAGATTCATCAGATACAATTTTGAATGTATGGAAAATATGCTTTTAAAATTTATTTTGGTTGAAATTGGTACTAGACGTTTAAAAGAAAGGAAAAATATCGCAATCCTCTAAAATCTTTTAATTTTACAAGAAAATCTCATTTTATGGATTTACATAAAACAAAAAAGCTCAGATGTCCAAAAATAAACAGTTAAAGTTTCCAAACTGGACATTTGTTAGAAATGATAAAGTTGGGGTGTGTATATTGTTTAATGTTTTTAAAAGATAGTTCTTACTCACAGTTTGTTGTTTTCAGCTATCCGGATTTCAAGCTTAAAGATCATCATCAGGTTGAAGTATGTGGTAACTCCTTCATGCTTGAAATCCGGAAAGTTGTAAACAACAAACTGTAAGTAGAAACTATCTTTTAAAAATACTGGACATTTTGTGTTTAAAATAAAACAAATTCTTTTAAACGAGTTAAAAAAAATCACTTCAAATTGTCCTTTTTTAACATTATTAATTTTGTTATCTCCCTTCTGGTTTAATGACTGATTCTATCCTTTTTGTGGTATAAATAGTTAATAAATTCAAAGTGAATGTTGGGCATGTTGTCCCAGTCCTCCAATGGCAGCTTCAGCATAGCTAGGGTAGCTAAGGTACTCAAAGACACATGTTGCCTTATGTCACCAAGCATTATCATGACTTAAAAGGCACAATGAGGTCTTTTAGAATCATCTCCACATACCTTCAGGCATTCAACACTCATTCTTATATTGCTAACAACTTGCTTCACAAGAAATGCCATAAACATGATCGACCTAACTTAACATTACCCATCTCTAACTTAACCTAAATATTACTAACCATTTTTAACCTAACTTAGCTCTATTCCTAATCCTAACTAACCTTACCTAACCATTCTTAAGTCACATAGCATCTGGCTATGCACTCATATTGTGACTGTGAAGGGTCTCATCTCATTAATGGAGGGAAAAAAATAAACTCGCATATTTTCTGTATCGTCCTGAAGTTAACCCAACTTAGCCTAACCTAACCCATCTTTAACCCTAAACCTAATCCTTACCCTACTTAACCTAACCATACCCACCCATCTCCAATTTTGAAATTAATATGATTTATTTTAACATTGATATGACCAAAATGGAGCAAGGATGAAAGGGCCAAACTACCTAGTAAAAAGCACCAAGGGAGACTTCCTCATCTCAGTCATGCAATTGACCTTTGTGTGCACCAAATATTCAAGTATAGTAGCAGATTCTCACATAACCAGGGATCATGGTTGGAATTACATCCATTAACTTCAGCTCCCAGTTGTATAAAAAAGCCTTGTAAAAAAAAAAAAATAAAAAATAAAAATAAAAGGTTGGCCTGTCCTGCGGAATTGAAGGAACTAGTTGACAAATTTGCAAAAGAAAGAGCGGTAAACATTCATTAGACTAGAATCGCTATTAAGCGCACCATAAGCTAAATTTAAAACTGAAAAAAATATCTAAAATGAAAAAAATGATAATTTACTAACCTATAAAAAATAAGTGTATTAGGAAAAAAAAATTATAATAACCTCTCCAATTCACAAACATGAACCCAAAACCACCAAAAATTACAGTGCTTCTGAAAATAATAACTATCCCTAACCTTGTTCTAACCATTCCTGATGTAACCTAACCCAACGCATGTTCACGCCGTGGCAATGCGAAAAAGTCATGCAAAATATTTGTTTATCTGCAAAAAACATATCTTGTTAACAAGATCTAATAAATTAATAATACTTTTTCCATTCTTCTAGTGGGCATTTTTACTCTCTCAGTTCGCTTCTAACAGTTGGCTCTGAGATTGATAGCAACTGCCAGGTTCTAATTGCTGGAATTTGTTCGATTACTCTTTCAGTTAACTTGAATTTTAATAAAACAGTCTATGGCATTGGTGATCCTGGGACACTTTTAATTTCGTCTCGAGTGTTTTTCATTCCAAGGTTGTGTGCACTTTTTTATGGCTCTTGAAACCGATAAATAATGAATTTCAAAGAGATTAGTGATGTAATGATGAGTAATGATTCTGACTGATTCAACACGGCTTAAACGACTCATTTCACGAACAAAATTAACAGAGTAAAGATAATTGGGAAAACTTGATGCATAGGCTAACTAACCTAACACATTCCTAATCCTAACATAACTCCCTAACTCTATCACCTAATTTAATCCTTCCCTAACCACATCATCTAATTTAATCCATTCCTACCCCTAAAATAACCTATCTTAAGCTGTCCCTAACATTAACCCTATCTAACTCATCCCTATTCCAAACCTTAATCATACCTAACCTAACCCATCATATCATGGGATAAAATTTTAATTTTAATTTGCTAATTACAGTGATATGACTAATCCCCAAATCTTGTTACAACAAGTAAAAACAAAACATGGATTAGAGCTGCTATTAATCTTTTTTTCTTTGTTTGGTTGTTGATGTGGAATTGACATAAATTTTCTTTTCAGATTTCTGTTAACCTTAGTATGTCTGCTAGTAATAGTGACCTACTTCTGCAGCAAGGATCCATCGAGGGTCAAGCTATGGTGCCTATGGAAGTTCTGTATTCTCTGTAAGTTCAACTTCTGTTCTGCAATACTTATACTTTTTTTAGATTACTTACTGTTAATTTATTAATTTACAGGATGCAAGAAGGTGGGATTAGGGCGCGCTTGAATCCCGAAGTGTCTGCTCTCATAGTGAGCGAATTGCTCAGGTAAAATTTTGCCTTAGTGCATGAATTTCTATCCTTCAAGATTTAACTGACATATTATAATTAACAACAACCTGATAATCAAAGACAAAATGGATCAAATGTCTCCAAAAATAAAAAATAATTTAAACTTAAATTGCGGCTTGATTTGAAAACTATTACTTGAGGTTTGCTTTTGTAAGATTAAAACCAATTTTATTGTTTGACAAGTTGTAATTAAAATGTTCAAAGCAAGGTCTCAGTCTTAATTAATTTCTACAATACTGAAAATTAGTAATTAATTTTAAAACCTAATCTTATTATCTTAATATGTCTGTCCTAATCTTATTATATTAATATTTTAAAATCGTAAATATGTTGTCAGCATGTTGTTATGTCTACAAAAAATTTTAGGCTCAGTGAATCAGATAGCAATACAACCAGTGATGATGAGGACTACGTGCCTCCATCTCGTGGGTTAACTATCTCTCAGATAAAACGTCTGCCTGCTTATAAGTGAGTAATTAGTATGACCAAAAGAAAGATTTTGTTAGCGCCAGTTATTAAAAATAAAATAATTCAACTGATATCTTGTCTTTAATAGATACAAAGCAAAAAAGCATAAGTGTCCCCAGACAAAATGCCTTATCTGCTTAGCTGATTTCAAAACAAATCAATTCTTACGACGGCTACCTTGCCTCCATCAGTTCCATCGTGGATGTGTTGATAAATGGTTGAAGGTAAAGTTTACAAATAATTTTTATCTTTATTTATTTATTTCTTTTATGTAACTTGTTTTATGTAACATTTTTACCAAATGTTTATTTAATATGTTCCTTTAAAACCTGGTTGATAAAATTTTGACCGACTGGTTTGTTACTAAACTGAACAAACTATCATGATCAAAGTTATATGAGGGTAAATCAAATATAAATAAGACTGTTTAAAATGACCAAGTATACATTACATTTTTAAGATAAACTCGTGCTTTGGAAATACGTTTTTTCTAGTGGATTGGGAGGTTTTTGATCATAAAATAAAAGTTGCCCGAATAGGCAATTTCTCACAAAGTCTTCCATGTCCACATCATTTCAGAATTGCTGTCCTTCTACTGCTTTTTTTTAATGCGCCCAAAGGGGTAAAAATAATATGGTGGTCAGGTTTGTGGGAGGATGAAAAGGTGGATTCCAATTCATTTCCTCAAATTTTGAACCGGTTAGAGCTACCGTATTTGATGTTGTATGTACGTTTTGGAATGATAAGCATCTTACTCAAAAGTTCACACTAATAAGCAGCATATTGGCAATGCTCATATAAAGGTGGCTCCAGACATGGAGCCAAATGCCGATTGCTGCCGAATATTTGCTAAGTCTCGAGATGCTCATCTTGGCATTCACCAAATAGTGTGCCTACACAAATGCGGGTTTGTACAAGTATGTGTGGAAACAGCGAATATTCGCCAAGTGCCTTGTGAGTCCTCAACTTACTACAAATCGTGATGGACAACAGTGAAGTCAAATTATTGGTTCAGCTTGATCGAGGAACTCCAAGACTGTAAAGTTGGGTCAAGAGAAATAACTGCGAAGCACTGAATACTATTGCTCGGCGAATAACAGAGCACCCAACCCCACTAATCGGAATTCGGCAAACCTTTGCTCAGCAGGCACATTTGGCGAATCCTGCATGTCTGGAGCCACCTTAAGAAATCAATATGCTAAATGTCAAGCCGATAAAAAAAATGGAGCTTCCTCCTCCAACCTTTGCCATATTGCCTTCTGTAGACTCAGGTGTGTAATGATGCACCCAGGTGACAATTCTAGTCAAACTCTTCTTCTGCAAAGCTGAAAGCTCCAGGCAGACCTGTAAATGTTTCGACTTCTGTTCTGCTGTCAAACCCCAACTGATACAATCTTTATGGAACTCTTCTGAACAGGACAGTGATGTTTTCCATCAATTTACAATCTTCCTTGAATTTCCTATGCCAGGCGATCACTCAAGCCCTAGAAACCCTCTTTGAACTTAGGAGTCATTGTTTAAAATTTTTTTGCAGGTTTTATGCCTTTATGAATGTGATATTTAATAATAATGCATTGTTCAGTGCTGAGTTGCACCTGTTGCTCTGTCATCGTAAGGCTATTATAGAATAGGTCATAACAAGACAACCACCGGCTCTACTCAATCATGTCAAATATAATAAAAGTCGCCTGCTCATTTTAAAATTACACTTTCAGAAACACAAGTCTTAACAAAGTTTATATTTTTATATACCTTCATAGTTTAAAACATTTTAACGAACTAATGTAAAAAGTAATGCATGTATTTATCTTCATCAGATAGAAAACTTGAAAAGAAAATTTACTCTGGGAAAAAATTTATACTGTCGATTGTTTGATTAATCATTGTCTTTATTTTACAGCGTAATAAAAAATGCCCAATCTGCAGATGGGAAGCAGTTCCAAAATATATCCGAGCAGTGGATATTCAAGCATGATTTGGTTTCTTTCTCATCCTTCCACACTTATAATTCAGTTGCATTCCGTATTTGTGATGTTTCTTTTCATTGTGCATTGAAAAATCAATTGACTTTAAAGCTAAAGTTAACCAACATATATATAATTGTATAGTGGTTATTATAACTTTCAAGATTGTATGAAGACGAATAGTGCAGTACACTCTTGCCAATCCTTTTAATATAAAATGTTCAGTTTTTTAAATTATAATTATGTTTGTAATTTCATTCATAGTTTCTCTATATGTGTGTTGGTAAGAAAAGTGAACTGTCATTAAAAATGACAACTGGTTTAAATGTATTATTGTGTATTTTTTGAAGTTCATGTGTTTGGAAAACATCTACCAAAATGTCAGGTTGTGAAAAAAAAATGAATGAGATTTTATTTAGAAAGAATATTCAAAGAAACTTAAATAGTGATAATTGTGATGAAGGCAGTCTTTCCTATATTATGATACTATGTTGTAACAAAATTCAGTCGTTTCACTTCAACCTATTTTGAGTCAGTAATAATTCAGTCTCCTTTCCCTTTACCTTGGTGAGTATTCAGTTCAAAAAGTTAAAAACTATTTTTTATCATGAGCTTACAAGTGTTAACTACAAAAACCTCAACTAATCTTTGAATTCTAATCAAAATTTTAGTACAATTGAGTATAACTTTTTGTAAGTAAATCAAATGGAGGAAAAACCAGACATTTTGTTACAACTTAGTATAATTGTTAGAGTTTAGTTTTCTTACATTTTTCCTTGTATTTATATTTTTAAGTTCAGTTTTTCTTTTTGAAATGTAATTAACTGAGATTAGTGAGATTGCACTGTTTACATTCAAACAGCAACTACTTTATAATGAATGTGGTTGTTCTGTTAGTGAGAAGCCCTCTTTAACTATATACAGTTCGCGGTTCTAGAATTTAAAAAAAAATTAATTCATGACAGTAAAAAAATTTTATATATTTTTATAAAATATTTGCCACAACTTGAATTTTGTCTTGTCAGATTTAAATTGTTAAGCAGATTGTATGTACTCTTGTCATTTGAAGATAGCTGTACTCTTTTTTCAGAAACAGGTGTTTCACTTATTGTAAACAAATATATTTATATTGGTGTTTAACTTTATTGTATTACTTTATTGAGTCAGGATGAAGAAAGTCTAAGCTTACCACTTGGTTTTCTTTTTAATCAAAACAGAGAAAGAAGAATGAAATGCCCCTTGAACTGGGTGTAGTTTGCCCTAATTTTTTTTTGTATAGGGCCTTTTATAGTTGAAAGTAATCGTATTGTACAATACTGGATATTCTGTACAAATTTCTCAATTATGTTATATGTTAAATTATTTTTATAAATAGCTTTTGTTGTCCTCTAATGATTAGTTTACATTCAAATTTATTTCTTTAACCAAAAATTGTATATTTTTATATTTCCAATAAAATGTTACCACAGTAAAATAGTATTTTGAATCTAAATTAAGATTATTTATTGTATATTATTGTGTTTGAACATCAGTTATCTATCACTGCAATGGCCGAGTAGTTAGGGCGTCTAGCTTTCATTCACTACACTAGCGATCCTAAGTTTGAATCCTTGATTGAAATTAATTTGTAAAAAATACTGTAAAGTTTTTCTGACACTGTATGACAAGAATTATTTTACTTTTTTAAAATACTTTTTATTTTATTATCATATTTAATAAAGGATGGTTGATTTATAAAACACTTGTTACCTCCCAGGTTTGTATAATTGTGTTTACATCAAACTAATGGTAATATCTGCCGTAATTTTTAAATCATTATATCTTAGTCCTGAGGAAGGTAAAATATAAATTTAAAGTTTGGTAATTGATAAGTATCTCACCACAGGGACCACAACCCTGATACACTACCCATCATAAATTAAAAATTTTGCTTGTCAATAATATCATATTTAATAAAGATATTTTGTTTTGATGCACCCAGAGGTCTCCCAGGGTTGTTAATGTGAAAAGCACCACGTATTTTTGCCATTTTAAAATACACTTTTGAGATGGAGACACATTTTTATGGGGTTGAGATTGGAGAATGGGGTCTATTATGTTTTTGGGAAAAAGTACTGGATTCCCAACAAAACACATTTTATGCCAAATGACAGGTTAGGTGTATTAAGTTTAGGGATAAGGATGAGTTAGGTAAGGTTAATGTTTGGGATACATTCAATTAGGTTAAGCTAGGGTTAGGGTTTGCTATGTTAAGTTAGCCTATGTATCAATTTTTCTTAATTCCCAACACTGTCAATGTCTATCCATGAGGAATCAGTTAGAATCATCAATTTCATCATAAAATCAGTAATCTTGTCATTCATTATTCGTCAGTTTCAGATTGGGAGTCACTCGAGGCGTCCTAAAATCACCAATGCTGTACATGACAGATTCTGGCAGTTAAAAAGTTGATCTCTGGTATCATGGGAAAGTAAACTCTGTAGGAGAGGGCTGAGAGAGTCAAATGTTAAGATTGGCCAATGAAAGACCTTCTACACACCACAAACTTAAGAATTGCAAGAAAACACCGATCATGGACTGTAGAGGAATGGAAAAAAGTTGTATTAGCATGGATATGTTTTTGCAGATGATACACAATTTTTCAAGCATGTCTATTCGAGTGTGCATGGGTTGTGTTAAGGCAGTTTAGGTTAGGTTATGTTAGGATTAAGGATAGATTGATTACATTAGCCCTTAAATCAATTTCTCTTAATTCTCTTTACCCTGTCAATTTTGTTTGTGCCATGAGTCGTTTAATCCATATTGGTTCAGCCAGAATCACCACTCTCATCATTACATCACCAACCTTAATATGTATAGGAATGAAAAAAGTTCTATTAGCATGGATATGTTTTGGGGCTGATTATACATTTTTTGTAAGACTTCGAGTGTACATGGTTGGATTATGTAGGTTTAGGATTATCTTAAGGTTAGAGAAGGGTTTGTTATGAAAGTTATCAATTGTGTTTTTATTTATTTTGTCTAATACACTTATGAAGTAGTAGGTTAATAAATTCTACTTTAAAGTCATTTTAGGCAAAAGAATAATATTTTTCTTTCCGCTCATTTGCTTATTGTCTATTTGGTGTTTGCTGCTCTTTCTTTCTCAAGTTTGTCAACTAGTTATTCAATTCCACAGGCCAACTTTTTATTATTTTTACAAAGCTTTTTGAATAACTGGGAGCTGAATGTAATGGATGGAATTCCAACAATGATTGACTTGAGAATCATATCTTCCTGGTGCTTTTTACTAGGAATTGCTTTGCTACTACCTTTCATCCTTGCTCCCTTTTGGTCATATCAATGTTAATATAAATCATAATAATGTAAAGATTAGGAATGTGTTAGGTTTAGGTTTAGGTTAGGCTGGGTTAGGTTCTGGATGGTTTCAGTTACATATCCATGTCTTCATGTTTTTCTGTGGAGTGGAGAAGATATGCAAGTGTAAATTTTTTTTTCACAGATCAGATGACACCGTTAACAGTCACAACAATGTGCAATAGTCTGGAGAAGCCATTGAAAACAATGCAACCGGTGTTGGAAATTGTTGAATTTGGAGTAGAGGTCTATTATGTTCTGGTATGGCTTTTATTGGAAGGCATGCACCAAGTGTTGCCTTGAATTTGTTAAGGTATTTGGAAATGAATCCAAAAGATCGCATAATGTCTTTTATACCATGATAATAGGCAACCATGATGATGATTACTAGGGGTTTGTGCCCCCCATGCACTGCAGCCTTCTGGGTTAATGTATCTCCCTAGTTCCCTAGTTCAGTGCACTTGACTCAATCCTTCTTCTCAGAAGTTTTAGGTCATTGACTGTCACTGCTACGATATCATTCCCTGGGTTTTTATTTGAATCCTAGGTTATGTCTCCATTGAGCCATTGCTTCGCATTTGAATATGATATGGGTGGCTGTATCTTCTTCCTCATTGCATAATCTGCAAATGGGATCATCTTTGAATGTGCCCATGTTATGTAGATGTTTTCTCAGATCCCAGTGACCGGTTAATTGTTCTATCACTCCTCTGATTCTGATAAGCAACTATAGTTTACTAGTGTTTCTGGTACATTTGATGCCACTCCTTCTTTTGCAAGATTGTCAACTAGTTTTCCCTCAATCCCCTCATGTATTTGCATTTTTTTTACATGATTTTGGAGACTGAAACCTAAAACCAACTTGGGATCTGAAGGCAATGCTTTTAATTTACTCAATGATTCCTGGCTACTTGCACATTCCGCAGAGGTCAACTGTCCCTCAGTTGGAAGACTGTAAGGACGAAGGTCTGACCTGACGTTTTACTAAGTATTTAGTCCTTTCTCCTTTGCTCCATGTTGGTCACGTCAATATATATCATAGTTACTCTCAGCTTCTAAATTTGGGAGATTTTACAAAACTATCGGGTTTACTGGTCTGACTTTAACCGGTGATTTTGTAAAGACCTACAGTTTATAACATAAGGTATTAGTAAGCACGCGTTTTCATAGAACCGACTCTGCCTGCTGCCTTGTCCGTTGTGAATTTACTCGTTGCCATGACAGATGCCTGTGTTCATTTGAAATCGCCGTTCGTGTGAAACCGTCTGTGTGAAATGTCGAGTCGGAAACTTAAAAAAGCTCTGGCGAAGAAATTCGCCGAAGCCGAACTTGCTAAAATGGCGAAGGCGCAAGTGCTTCGTTTAAGCCGACAGTACAAAGTCATGGAAGGAAGCCGGCTCACCTACGAAGAGGACATGAACATACAGTTGGCTAAGCAGAAGTAAATCGACAGAAACAATTTTTTAATAACGATTGTGTATTGTTATCTAATTATATACTTGCAAAGATTAATATTTATGTTTACCCCGAAGAAGTACGAATATTTGCGAGACTTTCGTTTAGCGCAAACTGCTCATTTCCGATTTTTGCTAGACATTTTTAGAGTTTTGCTTATTTTCTTCAGATAAATAATTAAATCGTCTATCGAAGATTTCTGGAGACATTGAACTTCTCCTGCCCCCGAATTGCCTTTTCTATTAACATCATGCTATCCACAAATTGGATTGGTCGATTTTAACTGTGGACTTCTTTAATTTTGAAAAATATTTTCCTCTACCGACGTTAAATCTAGATTTTGGAAGTTTGTGTCATCAAACGCCTTAATTATTTTTTCAGACTATCATGGACCATTTCTGTTTTCGTTGGCTTGTAGATTTCTAGAAAGAATGATTCCAGAGAAATAGTTTACATCTAGCTTTTAACTATGCGAAAGCCTAAAAAACAGATGGAAATCCAGCAATTTTACGTTAGTTTTTCTCCTTAATTTTATGTTTAACAGTTATCACCCTCACCTACTATGGCTGACTGAAGAAAATTCAATGGTCTGTTGCACTTTCACACTATGCATGATCATCTTCGATTATTGATTGCTATTTCACGTTTGACTTAATATGTATGCCATACCTGTCCTATTGTACAGCTATAGATAACGAGTAAATAAGGTGTATGTTAATAAGGTATATATATTCAATGTCGTTTAACATGGATCTTCATTTGGGATGGATAAACAAATTTTCGTTTGTGTGACCATTTTTGCGTCATAGATTGAGTTGATGTGGGTTAGTTTAGAGTTAGAGTAAGGTCATATTAGGTAAGATTAGGGACGGGTTAAGTTAGGTTAGATTTAAAGTTAGGTTACGTTATGTACAGTAAGAGACGTGTTTGGTTGGGTAGAGTTTGTGTTAGAGACGAGTTAGGTTAGGTAGTGTTAATTCTACGAAGCTCCTTTGCCAAGAGTCATATAATAAGGAACCCCATTCTTTGTAATGAATACTTTGAATAGTCCATTATATTTAGTGGTCTATTGACCAAATTACTTCTTTCGATTACTTAATCTTTCTATGTAAGGTTTGGGTTAAATGAAAAAGTTAGTGTGATGAGCGGGATATGAATCCACAACCTTCAGCTAAATACGCCGCTGCTCTAACCACTTAAGCTATCATGACTATATTGTGTAGTGATTGTACTAAATATTTGACTAAGAATTCTGACCCCCTTCCACATGCACTACTTGAAATCCTAAATAATAATGCAAATGTAAACAGGCTTGAGCCTTTTTATATGTAGTTTTTGAATATGCCATTCATAATGTGATGATGTAGCTAATGGTCGGAAGGTTGGTGTGGCTGGAGGTGACGGGCTACCTATGCTCGGCAAGTGAACCCTGTTCTTGATGTATAAGATTGTTCTCAACCAATGCAGAACTGAAATCAATATTACAAACAGCTAGTCAACATATTGTTTTTTAACATGGAAATATTTTTGGCCTAGATACACAGTTTTTCCTTTAATCAATTTTGCATTACCAATTGTAGAGTTAGGTTAGGTAGGGTTAGAGGCAGGTCAGGATTAGATACGGTTAGGTTAAGTAAGATATAGTTAGGGTTAGAATTAGGGAGGCATTGGGTCAGGCTTTTGTTTTTGTTTTATGTTGTTACAACAGAGCTAAAGTATTGCATGTAACTTTCTTGTCTTTATGAATTTTGTATTACAACATTTTACTACTGGAGAAGCAATCACACTTCTCACTCACATTCAATAGGGAGGAAACTGTGAGGCCATTGGGGCTTAAATGCCTTAGAGGATGAAAAGGCGAGGATTAGAGGGTTGTGATGACGGACCAGAGTTTTATGCATCAATATGACACTGAGTGGGACAAATGGGATCTGAGGTCTGTGAGGTTACAATTGGATACAATACATAGAAGCTTTGGGCAATGGTTCAAAGGATTGTGGACTGGATTGGATTATTTGGAGTTTGGAATGCTTTAAACCCCACAGTTCAATTAAATCTTTCAGCAATGTAAAGTCCCAAATAGTGGATGAAATTGGTTGGTGGGAGAGGAACAGAGTTATAGTAAATTAGAGGAGAGGTGGGAAAGTTATTTACTGGGATTTGGTTTTGTTCAATCTGATATTTAATTTCGTGAACCATTCGAACCAGGTTAGGATTAGGGTTAGGCTTAAGTTATATTAAGTAGGATTAATTCTGCCAAGCTCCTCAAGAGTCGAAAGTTCAGTTGTAAGCTATGTTTGAATTTGAATATTTTGCTTGTTTCGTTATTATTTTTAGGCTAAGTTGTATGGATTTATATTTTGAATACATGCAATAGAATTAGGTTGTACAAAGTTTATTATCCACTCCCAAAAACCAAATGATTCAGGGCTCAACTTGCACATTTACAAGAAGAAAAGGAAAACCTAAGTACAATAGGCAATTTGACGACAGTTCAGACTGTAAAAATTAAAGATAAAGATTTTAAAAAAAGACTTCTTCTTCTTCTTGAGCAAAAGGTCAGTTAAACCTAGGTACTGTTTATGTAAATTATAAGATAAAGTAAAGGCAGGCTTTTAGACAAAGCTGGAGAAGGATGTAAGATCGGCACGCAGTGATTTAAGGGAGACGAGGTCACAATTGTTAAAAGCAGACCATGAGTTGCTATTACTAAGGGCAAAAAAGAAATCTGGATCAAAAGGAAACCAACACATAAGCCATGATTTAATCAAACGAATGAGCTTACTAGAAACTAAACTGAGCATTGTAAGTTCTACACTTTATAACACAATTTAATACTCATTGTAGCCGATTTCAGGCTCACATAGAACTGAATAAAGTTATGACGAAAAATGGAAGGCTACGAGAGGAAATAGAACATCTACTTAAGGAAAGATGTCGGTTTAAAAAGCTTCTAGATGACCAGTTAAAACTGTTGAAAGCTGGTAAAAAATCTATGTTAGACATGATAGAACAATCATCTATCGCTTTCGAACACAGGTTTCAACTAGCATTAAATTTCATGTTAATATTAATGTTTAATTTTATTTAATCCTTTTAGAGAAGAGTCCCAAGCAAAATTGGATGCCCTCAATGAGAAAAGCATATCGCTCAAAGAAACGCATACACAGCAAATGAGAGATTTGGATAGACTTCTTTACACGGATACAGAAAGGGTGCAATTTTTAACCATAAAAGGCCAATACAGAATGAGTACAGACCAAAATTCAAAAAAAGAAGCCGGTGGTTTAATAAGAAAACAGGATATAGAGAATTTAAGAAGTATTTATAACACCGTCCTTCTCGGCATCTCCCCATACACGGAAGGTGAAGAAAAAATAGACTCAATATGCGAAGCCTTCAAAACAAACGAGGATGAAAATTTTGCAATATTCAATTATGTCAATGAAGTAAACTGTGAGGTAATGGGCTTTAATCCCTATAAAATGAATGTTTATATTTTGTTTAATTAATTTGTATTTGCAGGCTGAGAGCTTGCATGATGCAGCTAAAGTTGTTAAAAAAAAGATAGAAAAGGAAAGAGCTTTGAAGGTAGAGAGAGTGGCCCAGCAGTCTGAAGACGTACGAACACTGGGAATGGAACTGGCTAAGGTTCAAGAGGAAATAGATGAGCTGGAAGTAAGGAAAAACAGAGTCGCAAACCATCTGTCTATTGTGACAAGCCAATTAAATGGAATTGTATCCAAAGTTCAGTGCCATTCGTCTCCTTTTTACAACTTGCTAGGTATTATTTGACCTGAAATATCAAGTTGAACTTCAATAATAATATCCTCTCATTTTAGGTGACAATACATGTGTTAATCTTAACAACGTCCATTTGTTTCTTCTCGTCTTGGAAAAACAAATTATGCGTATTATGAAAAGAATCATGGACAGGGAGAAATGCCTTACATTAGAGGAACAACTTGCATCAAAAGATTCAATAAGTAAAGCCTCATTACGGAAGCATAAGTTACGCCTGAGTCGTAAAAAATTAATCACTTCTCCGATTCCAGAATAATATCTTTCTGTGATGTTATTATTATTAATTTTTTTTTATAAAAACCTATTTTAGTAAATTAGCAATAAAAATATTTTATATATTTCCTATATATATATTTCCTATTTCCTATTGATAGGAGTTAACTATGTTGGGTAGGGTTAGGTTAAGTTAGGTATCTTCGCTTATAGTGTGATTGCCTGGGCTAATAAATTCAAACAAAACAAAGAGAACTCCCAAAAGTACAAGTATTTGTGTCACTTGAGCAATGAGGACATGTCCCACAGTAGGTATGGACAAAATATTCCAAGAAGACAAGAACATGCTAAGGAGAGAATATCCAATACTCATCGGTCCTAAAATATACATGAATTTGTATATTTTAATTTAAACAATTTTCAGGAAATCCTAAGTACTAAAAGGAGTCTGTACGAACACGATGGATCTAGGATATAAGAAATGGACAGTGGTATTTGACCCTAAAACCAACTTTCATAGCTCATGGACATACACACTCGTATATTTCAAGCCGAAATCTATTTTACTGTGCAATACACTCCATTCAATTTGTATAGTTTAATTGTATCATGTCTGACAGTATTATCAGATCTCAGAGAAAAGTGCTGAATTGCAAAACCAAATTAAATAGATTAGGTGGGCAAAACAGAATCGCACTCTATTGGGGCAGGAGTAGGGAGGAATGAAAAAGGGGTTTATCTTACATGGAAAGGTGCTACTGCACTATCGTACCCTTGATCCATACTATCGACGAGAACCTTAGTTAAAGGAGACAAGGTGAAACTAAGAAAAACATTGGGTATCATTCACAGGTCACAAACAATTCAAAGATCTCCTGGCAAGATTTGGAAAGAAAGAAACTACAGAATGCATCGAATGAGGAAGACTCCCAATTGTAACCGGATTCTCTACAGGCACTTGAGAATGTTTGTCATCAACCAACATGGCCAAATGATACCCCAACACACCTATTAACAGACTGTGGTGCCACACTTCTATATAGGGATGTACAGCAAAAGAGAAAATTACATCTACTATTTAACACAACCACTATAATCGGACCTTCAACTCAACAATTCCTTGAAGAATTGGGACTTACCATACAGGGGATACAATAGCTCTCAAAGAGAGCCCATTATATACCAATTCCCCTGAATATACATCTGCATCTGAGTTGAGTGGGGTTTAAGTAGGGTTAGGGATGCGCTAGGTTAGATAAGGTTAGGACCAGGGATCAGTTGGTTGAGTTGCCTGTCCCTGCTGATTTGTTTATATTTGGCAATTCATAAACTTGAGGCAGATATGTGACCTTTAGGTTCTTGACCTCGTTTCACACAAGACAAAAAGAAAGATCTTCATGGAAAGGGCATATATATTTCCATATTCTTTTCCATGCATCATATTAGTTAATAATTTTTAAATGAAAATGAATACATTCTAGGGTTAGACCGCTGATTAGTGTGTTCGATTAGTGCTTAGTGAGATCTCGTCGAGCCTCAAGCCAGTGGGGCCGTGCCCCTGCTTATATATGCAGGTACGTGGTAACTAGGTGGCCACCACATACCTATTTCACTCTAAGCAATACAAACAACTTGTCAAGTTATGTTCTAATAATACATTAATACTCAGTCACTCCAACAAACTGGTACATACAATGGAAACTGATTTTAAATGTGAGGACAGCATAGTTGGGTTGACCTGTGTGATGCATCAACACTGTAACAAATTGCTTACAGACTAAATATCAAACAGGTAAAAATATTCTTAAAAAGATATCAAACATTTATTTTATGACATTAATATTAATAGATAATATTACAAATTTTTTTGGTAAAACAATGTCAATTGCAAGTCAAGCAAATCATTGCACTTCACAGCACGCTCACTATACATCTACTTCACTGATCTATTATATTTTAACAATTACAAGTATTTTATTTGGATGAACAACAATCTCAAAGATGAAAAATAGAGCATAATAGGAATATAATATTAAAATATAGGGATATAATACATAATTTTGATTGACAATTATAGTGAAATAGTCAGAATATGCTTTGCAATTAGAATCACTAACTACTATATACATACTTACATACACATTTAAGTACAATGGTACATTCAAAATAATTTATTTGGAAAGTGAAAAAATACAACATTTAAAAAATTATACATGAAAATTTACAATTTTAAGAAATAAAATGACATTTGTTTGGCCATTAATTACATATATGTTCTTCTTTTTTAAACCTACAAATTTCACAAATGACATTGCAACACCAAACGAACCGACATTTACATTTCTCCTCAACTTCTCGTACCCTGGTCTGATATCCGCGGCCGCAGCATAACAATTTGCACCCATCTAATCCAGGACTTCCTCTGTTGCATAATCTTCCGTGTGTTCCGAGTATACCTAGTCTGAAAGTAAAGGAACAAATAGTCATCTCTTTCAATTTAATAAATGATACATGAGTTAACAAATTTTACGTTTCATTTTTTTCACAGTAATCAGGGGAATCTTCCAAATAGACGAGTTCAGTATTATTCGGCTGTTTTAAACCTTTAGATGCAGCTCTCAACCTTTTTATTTTCCTTCTCTTCTTTTCGACCAGTTTTACTGAAGAAGCGCCTTCAAACCTTGAAGTCAATGCGTCACCCACTAATCGGAATGGGGGCAGTCTTCTCCAACAGACCCTGACACTGCATGATCCAGACATTCCATGGCATTTACACACCCTCTGCATTCGAGATCGAATTAACTGAAATACAATATCACATTATGAATATGATCAACTGATTTTATTTGAAGGAGATCTTACTCTTCTACCAGCTTCATTATTGTGGAGATTCATCAGTCCTTCAGCCGTGTCTGAATCTTCTTGTGAATCAATAAATTCTCGGCTAAACTTTTCACCGAAATGTATATCCTGAATAAAAAATGATAAACTATTAGAAATCAATACTGCATTGCATGGTGAAACAAAAACATAAAGTTCTTGGCTTATAAAGTAAATTGTAAAGTTTTATGGTGGTCCTTGTTAGATTGAGTGGTGAGAAGGAACTCAGATCGTTGGCTTTAGAAGTTTTGTAATGAGCACATGCTTCTTCGTAGTGACATATTCTTGCACATGTGCCAGCATGGAGGAAGATGAATATAATTACAACAGAAATGAGAACAAAGTGGTGAAAGTCTGAGGAATAAATGAGAACTTTGATAAATAAATATTATTGTCCATTCAACTCGATGCATGAAGATTCCTGAGCTCTGTTCCATTTTCTGGGAATTAACATGGATAACATTAGTGCTAATGAAAATACAGGGTTTTCAAACAACTATAAGTAGGGTTATGGAAAGAAGGTTGTTTATGAAAATACTCCATCAGTTAATCCGGCCTTACTGATGTTTGTAATATTTTTAAGTAAATAAAGATATATTATTATGTATATTTATGTGTATTTTTATATTGTAAAACTATTTGTTTATAATGTTTATACAATAATGTTGTCATATAGAACAATTTCTAGAATGTTCTACAGATATACTGGTTATATTTGGTCCATATAGTTTACAGCTACAAGTTTTTGGAAAATCTAAGAAAAAGTTATAAGTTATCAAGCAGTTATCAACATCAAGTAGAATATTTGACATGAGTTAGTTTGACATCCGTTTTCCATTACCTCAGAACATCCGCCCCACTGCCAATGTTTCCTCGGTTTCCTTAACCTTACTCGTGTATCACAATTGCAGTCAGTCAGTTCACCTTTAGAGCAAGCACGAGTTATTGCGTAAGCAATACCAGCAGAGCTGACAGCATAGACGAACGCGGTTTCACGGCTCTCTGTAAAACAAAGTAGTATTGGAACAACGGGTCAACAGAGGAAAAGCTTATACTTACTGATTGTAGTGACAGCACCGAATATTGAACTTGAGTTTGTAAACGTGCTGCAGTTCCACCTGATCATGCTGAACTGATATTGACATTCCTCAATAGCCAATCTAACACCATTACTCAACGCCTAAATAAGTATGGTTAATACAAATTAAATTTCAATTTTGTATTAAAAAAATACGATTGATGATACAAAAATACAATAAATGTTGTTTGTTCGTCCTGTTTAGGTTTTTATTAGATCCTTTTGAAGTGATTGATCCAATAATGACATTCGATGATTCTTCTGTATCAAATCCAATGGCCAAGCAAAAGTATCAGTGCACTTTGGAGGCTTGTACATATATGTACAACAATAATTATGAACACATTTCCTATAATACTAAGACTGATCCCTCTCCACCAAATAACATCAGCAAAGAATTTCTAGGTGGATTAAAACTTAAAAGGAAGAATAAGACCACTTTTAAGAGAGAATTTCAGACATTCAAGGCTCCACAAGTTGACACAAACAAGATAATTAAATTCAAAACTTCCAGACTGACCCAAGTGCCAAAAACTAGAACAGTGGGTGGAGAATGTACTATTAACGTTCTGTTGGTATACTGCCTGTAAGAAAGTGCAGCAAGAGTATTTAGTTCAAAAATTACTTGGAGCCCAAGGGCATGCAAAAACCAAAGTTCAAGGCAATTAAGAGGCCTATTATACATAACTATCATGTCAGATATCAAAGTACAGCATTAAAGCCATTAGTTTGAGAATGGTGCTGAACTGCAGTACTGACCTAAACAGGGGATATGGATGTTCACAGCCCATGCCTATTCCTGTACATAACAGAAGTTCATACTACCAACTGCTGGTTACACATTTTTTGTGTGACCCTTTTTGCATTATTGGGAGCACACATGGTTTGGGTTAGACTAGGTTATGGTTAGGATTAAGTATCCTTACATAAAGGGCAATTGCCAGGGTCAATAAAGTCAATCAAATAGTAAAACAAAAAAAAACAAACAAAAAAAGACACAAAATATCCAAGGCTTGCTTGTATTTGAATCTACTGAATTATGAGAACGTGTCTCACAGCTGGTATGGAGCAAATATTGCCCTTAACGAGTTATAGCTAGGCAACAGAGAAAACTATGCTCAACATCAGTAAGGAAGAATCTCTAAAGAGATTACAAGTTAAATGGAAGGACAAGAATATGGTAATGAGAGAATTTCTGATACCCAAGGCTCCTAGGGATGATAACAACACAAAATATGAATTTAAACAAAAACTTGCAGGCAAGCCTAAGTGCCTAAATTAAGTATTACAGTACCCTTGACCCTTTTGCTTTATCGCAATCCATACTTTCTGCAAGCATCTTAGGAAAGAATACAAGGTGAAAATGAGAAAACATTGGTAATCTCTCAATGGTCATAAACAAGTGAAAAACCTCGTGGCGAGATTTGACCAGAAAGAAACACAGAATTCATCAAATAAAAAAGTGATTCCAATTCAACAGGCACTTGGGAAAGTTTGTCCTCAACCAACATGGTCAGAGGATACCCCAACAAACCTATTGATAGACTGTGGTGCCACACTTCTCCACAGGGAAGTATAATGTGACCATAGAATAAAACTTCTTCTATTATTTAATACCGCCACTATAACCAGGCCTAATAAACTATAATTCAACAATTCCTCGACGAATTAGGACTCACCAACAGTACAATTGACACAATGGCTCTCCATAGGTGTAGTATGTTCCTCTGAATATGTATCTACACCTAACATTGGGCGGGTTAGAGCTAAGGATAGGCTAGGTTAGGCTAGACTAGGTGAGGTTAGGATCAAGGATTGGTTGTGTTAGGTTAGATAGATTTTTAGTGCATGTCCCTGACCTGCTGATTTGGCAATTTATAAATTTGAGGCAGGTATGTGACCATTACTGTTTCTTTGTCTTGTTGTACACAAAGTAGTTTAAAGAGCAAGAAGAAAGATCTTCATAGCAAGGGAGAAATATTGTCTTCCATGAATCATATTAATTAATAATTTTAGATAGCCATCTGAGTTAATTCAGCTCAAGAAAGGTGCAGGATTGTGAAACGAAACTAAATAGGTAAGGCATAAAAAACAGCCACTTTTTTCTGGGTCCCAGAATTCCAGGACATGAAACAGTAGAAAAAACTGAAACTCGATGCCCTTGCAAGACCTGACTCACTTCTTTTGAGTTATGGGTTTTTGCCTGTTGCATCCCCAGTGTGGATTTCCTGATTTCTGGTGTATTTGACTTATCGACCAATCTTCTCATAAAATCCATGGTTTTAGACTGTAAATTTCAATCTTTCAACTTACCGACATTATATTTTCATTGACGCTACAAAGCTGCCGTTGTTTCTCAATTAGAAATTCAAGTTTCTGACATCTCTCTTTGTAGTTCATGGGTGAGCTCTTTCCAGCCGGCAGGTGGCCACCATCAATCCCCAGCATCCTGAAAACAAATTTAAATTACAAATATGTGCGAGAAAAAAAACAAAACAAACAAACATTTAAAACGATCTACCCCGAAAACCCCCCCCCCAAAAAAGTGCCTTTTTTTGATAGACTCTTTTGTAATACTCCTTAACTTCTCAGATGGTGTTGCCTTGACATGTATTTTACAATATAACCCTAAAACTAGGAAAATTTCTCTCACGGCTACTTAGCAATTCAATGACTACCTTACATTCATACTAAAGCCAACATGGCCATACGGAAGAAGTCTGTGGTTCTGCCAATTGCTCAAATGTCCTCCATATTCATACTGCTAAATAAAAAGAATTCTTAAAAATTCCTTGACTCTTCATTTGTGTATCACATGAATCGACACACAAAGATTTAGATGTTCCTTCTGCCTATGAAGTGATTCGAACCTGTTACTATCACTCAATATCACAAGCTCATGAATTGAAAAACTCTCATCCCGTTATATGACATCCAATCCTGCCCGCTGGCTAAAGAGATGATGGCCTAGAGATCCCCTATACAATGATGATGACAGCGAAAGTGAGTGAAAATTGGTTGCATTTATGTTTGAAAGTAGAGCTTATGCTAAAAACTGCCTTTTGCAAATACATGTTTTCTCTACTTCATGAAAAAACATTGACATGGATAACACCTAACCTGTGCCTAGCCCTACCTCACCAAACCTAAACTAAACTAATTCAAACTCTACATAACCTTAATTCTATCTATCCAATTCCTAGCTTTAACTACCCGTCTTTAATCCCCACACTATCTAATCTAACCCTTTATAACCTAATCCTAACACTTCTTATCCTATCCATATTCGTAACCTTTCCTTAACCCTAACCCTGCCTAACATAACCATACTTAACATATCCTAACCCTATCTATCCTATCCCTAGTCATAAACTAATCGGTCTTTAACCCTAAACTAACCTTTTCAACCTAATCCTAACGCTATTTATCCTATCCCCAGCCTTAAACTAGCCCGCAGTTAACCCTAACCCTATCTAACCTAATACTAACGCTACCTATTCTATCCCTAGCCTTAAACTAACCAGTCTTTAATCCTAACTTTACATAACTTAACCAGCCCTAACCTATCCTAACCCTAACATAACCAATCAGCACTTCCTGATAACACGAAATATGGTGATGACGCAAATATGGTCACGCAAAAAATGTGTATACCCAGCCCAAAACATAATATCCATGTTAAAACTTAAAAAAAAATCGTATGAATCAAAATATTAGCGACTGTCTACTTATGGAGAGCTACCAGTGGATAGTGTCTTCACTCTATGTAACTTTTTTTTTTAATTTGCCATATTGTAACTTGTTACTTTATACGGAGTAGTTGTAATATGCATTGATTAAAAGGAAATCAAAAATGAGGTTAATATTGAGCTTGCTCCTGACGAAAAAAGAGCACCTCGGTATTTTTTTCAAACTGTTACTTTGAAGCCAAAATCTATCGTCCAAAGGTATTAGGTTATCACCAATTTTTATAACACGTGACAATCTCTTCGTAAAATCTTACATCCCATGGGAATTTTTAAAAGATTTTCGCAAGTTTCTACCCTCTCGGCGGTTTTTTTAAAGGGCGTTCATGCAGTATTTTCCACCTTGCCCATGACGCGAAAATGGCAATTAACAGTGAACAATTTTTTCTTGCGATACTCCAAGCACTCTGGCAAGTACACCATAGAACTGCATTAATGTCCATGGTTGATCGGCATGAGCTCTTCTTTTTTTTCCAAGGACTGTTCAATTTTTCATACAAATTCTGCGCAGTGTATTGAACAAGAATACATTCAGTTTTAACAATTTCTCGAATTTCTTTTTTCGACTCAATCCTAATACGACGAGAGGAAAAAAACTTCCCTCCATCATTTTAACCAAAATCTATTGAAATAAAGCTTCCTGTTAAATAATTCATAAAAAAACTTAGATCAGTACAAGTACAAGAGAGTATTATGTATTTAAGAGTTCTTGTTAAAATATACGTTCCAATTATAGGGATCCTCATTAAAAAGGAGCCGACGTCTACGTATCCTGTCCACAGAAGAGGCCGAGGGCCGGCCGGATCCGACCGCATCATAGGTAAGTACGGTCCAAATTTTTCCGCATGAAAACGGCATTTTGAACTACGGGGAAAAAAACCTTTCCAGATTTTAAAATATCCGGCTAAAGTGGAGAGGAAAAATGGCGACCTCTCAAGGCGGGGCCTCATTGTCTCAAGCACACTTACAGCCCTCCCCACATCATGGAGATAAATCCACTTGTAATTGTACAATGGTACAGCAGCCATGGCTACCTTTCTAAATACCATTTCAAATTATTAAAAAAAAAAAAAGCTTCCAAGTTTAAAACCAAGAGTCTGATTCTCGGTCATGAATAATCTATAATTAACCATTATTAAATTTACAAGTTTAGAATACGGACATATAGAGAAGAAAGTCAGACCTTCGTAGATTTTTTTCACGATCGAAATTGTTGGTACATAAATGGAACTGAAGAAACTAACAAGGAAAAATTTTCTTGGTTTACTATGTCTATATTTGAATTAATTATTATCCACAAAATTTAGGACAGGAATCATCAAAATTAACACTATAATTGTGTTAAGAATTGAAGAAGAAATAAACGCAGAAGGATTGTCCACGAATCAATTAAAATTGCAGAAATTCGCGAGTTTTTGAAAGTATATTTTGACCTTATATACAGCAACTGATGATGTGGCAAAAACTTCCACTCACATGTAATATAACTTGATTTGTATATATTTTTATATATTAATCAAAGTTTCACGTTTTTTAACGTTTAATAATCGAGTCTTTGTCTAAAAAAGTAAAAAAAAAAGTAAATTGCTAAGGAGAATGAAAAATAAAAAAAGAAGGAAAGTTAAAATTTGTTTATTAGATTTCTAATTAACATTTCAATATCGTTTATTGCCTCCTCTTGCCTTAATTACAACTGGAAGACGCCTCCGGCATACTTTCTGCCAGTCTGGAAATGTCTCTTTGCTGGAGGTTAGCCCATTCTTCACGAATAGAAATTTCAAGATCGTGGAGTGTATCATGAAGTGATAGACGTGCTGGTCTTACTCGTCTTTTGAGGTTATCCCATCAATGTTCGAGGGGGTTCAAGTCTGGAGAACGGGCTGGCCAGGCTAAGACCCTGATGTTATGCAGTGGAAGGTACGTTTGTACTATGCGAGCGACATGTGGACGGGCATTATCGTGCATTAAACTATCCTATGATTGTCGCTGATTTCATGGAGGATAGGTAACGCATGATGTGCCAAAATTTCATCCACATAGCGACTGGCCGTCAAAGACTATCCACGAACAACAACCAACTCTGTGCGACTCTCTATTGAAATTCCCGCCCACATCATCACTGAACTACGTTGAAAAGGCTCTGGGAAAAAATTACAGGCTTCGTACCTTTCATGTCGCCTTCTCCACACGCTTTCACGTCCATCTCGAGATGGAGCAAATCTGTAAAAAGTACAGCAGACCAATCGTCCAAAGACCAATGGCTGTCAGTTTTGGTCCTCTTACGTCCTTAAAAGCCTCAGTCCATACTGATTTAATCTTCTTCGAGCAGTGCATCTCGGCATGTTCATCAATTTGGACACATCGAACTTCCGGGAGCTTATGAATCGCTTGAACAACAAGCAAAAGTAAGGTGCCGGTTTCGCAAAATTCTCAAAGGCAAAGAACAGTCATCCCGTGGTTCTGTTACCCTAGGGCGTCCAGAACCTGGCCTTCTATGGTAAGAACGGAAACCGAATTGATGAGAAGGAAGTGGTTTTATGTAAAGCTAAGATGAGCATTAGGCGTTTTAACAAGTCTTGGAGACCGCGGTAACCGATAGGTTAGCGTGTTTGACTGTCGGCTCGTTGGTCCCGCGGTCACGCAAATAAATACATTAACTCACAAAACACGTTAGGTACACAAAACTATTAGTAGTAATACGAACAAGGACCATTAGATTCGCTCGAGCACAATTCTTATATGTATTGAGGGAAATTCCTACTCGCTCCAAGTATGGAGCCAAAGAATGATTCCTTCAATTATGTGGGACACATTGAGCAACCTTTCTCTGTACGCCTGACACATACGATAACAAAACTAAGGTTGGTGTGTATTATTTATATCAGGATGAGGAGTGAACGTTCAAAATGGGTTGCGAAGAGTTAGGGCTTGTTCCCGTCCTTTCCAGATTGTGTGCTGATCTATCATATCAACAAAACTAGAAATAGATTGGCACCAAAAAAGGCTTGGGAAATGTTATTTCTTAGGGACTCAGTGAAAGCATTTTATTCTCGTATTAAAATGGGTCTAATATTTCATACAAAGGTCTTTCGATCCTATTTATCCATTCCCACCGAAATTTGTGTTTTGTAATCGTAAAGACCAGCATTCAAAACGCCGTAAAAGTCGGTTCGATTGGCATCGGGAATTGGTGGTTGGACCTCAAGTGAAAGAATACACGTGTGCGTGTTGTTAGTGTGGAACGTACGGGCTCTGTCAGTCGGATCGGAGTCTCCTTTGATCCTTACCGTCAACACCCCTACGATAAATAGATCCGAGTTTAATTCTCCAGGCGGGCAATAAAATGAAAACAGTCGAGAAAAGGCAGAGGGAAAAGCGGCCGCTTAATTTTTTCACCGAACCTTTTGAGAAATCGACGCTGCCTGTACTCAGGCGCTTACATTTAGACTGATTTTCGTGGTTTTGTGCCGTGTATTTTCAACACAGATCGTAGGCAAATATTTGAAAAAAGCCTAGTGTTAGGAGACAATTCATAAGGCATTTTTACATTTTACATCAATTTTACATAGGGATGAATTTTCTTCGATCGCAAAAAATAATATTTCACCTCTCTTCTTGTTACTAATGAAGTTACGAGTGATAAAATAATAAAATATAAAGCACGAAACGAGAATGGGCTTCGTTAAAGTGCAACAATAAAACG